TACCATCCTATGAATTAGGAATTCAAGCATTTTTAACCACACACAACCTCCAACATGAAGGATGACACATGCAAAGCAAGAAAATGACTGAATTAATTTACACAAATAGGCTCCATATTACATCCCCTGTTTAATTTTCAGGCAACAATAGTTTAATCCTGTATGGTGTGTTTACTTAGACTTCCAAGCATTTTTAAAAACTTGAACGCTAGAACGGGGGCTTTCTCTGTCACACAGCGTGGTTTCAACTTATATTGATTCACTCAGACTTGCTAATTATTTCGTTTTGCTTCTCTCTCTGTATCTGAAAGATGATGATTGTGAAATTTTACATCTCAATGCTAATTTTGGATACTGATTGGACAAATCAGTAATGTGATGATAATAAGATGCAGATGAGTTCTCATCAGAATGTCTATTTATGAACTGGTATCTAAGGGCTTTGCACTGTCAGAACAGTGGGAGCATAGGCACAAACACACACACAAAGTTTGCACATCCAGAGACTGAAAGTTTTTGCGTTTGTCTTGTGCAACAATTCAATCTCAGTCAGATTACTGAAAAACGTTGGTGAACCGCAGTTCCATAGTTTTCTATTAGGACTTAGGTCTGAACTCTGACATTCTGACAAAATTAATGTTTTTTAAACCTTTGAAAAGTCTCTGTTTAAGGAATTGGATAATAGGTGATATCTACCCCATGAGCCTGATCTTTTATACTGGGGTTAGGCTTCAGGCTGTTACCAATACACAGTTGTAATTATATTGACATACACTCAGGTGGGCTATTTTAATGGCTAGTGAAGGACATGAATATTCAGCAGTCATTAGGAAATCTCTAAAAGGTTGTATAATGCTGTACTTTCATGTATATTTACTTTGTGTCAGTTTGCTTTCACAGTTGTACACAATTTGTATAAGTTTGTATTACCGCTGTAAAACAGTGGTATTTTAGGCCTTCTTTACAAACGGCCTGCTGTAACGCAAACGTGTCGCTCTGACCAGTGCACCGACTCACAAGTGGTTAAAAAAAATATCTTTAATGCCATTATAGTGCTCACAGATGCTTGGAAAATGTTGTTGAGACTATTTGAAAAGGTCATTGATGTATATCTGATTTAGTGAATTTGCCAAGTGGGCAGCTGAGATGTTCTGTGGACATCTGCACTCAAAGGAATTTTCCAGATCAGCCATCAGGGATCTACATTTCAGTGTTTTTGAAACAAAAACAATGAAGTATTTTTCAGATTACACAACATGTGCAGGATAATTGAAGTTTCTTATTATTATTATTATTACAGCACAAAATGCGGACCCAAAAACTGACTCCGGTGAAAACGGAATAAATAACAGATTAATTTTGAAAAGTGTGGCAGTGGCAGTTTTGCGGTCACATGACCAACTGAAGTAAGTACTTTATTTATAGAGCAAATTTTTTACAGACCAAGGTCGTCCACAGCACTTTACAATTCTCAAGAGTTCAAGTATTGTTCCATTCACTCCACACACTGTGATGACAGAAGCGAGAAGCTGAACACATGCACCAAAGCCTCTGACCAAACACCATCCATTCCCTCCCTTGTTACATTCATGTCTATTCATATCTATACATTCATAAATGGTTTTCACACCCCGGATTGATGTCCGTAGTTGGTTGTCCCTGCTGTGTCTCAGTAACCATAAGGGCCTGCTCAAAATGTGTTCTATAAAATCATTTGTTCAAAAATGTGACAGGTACAAATGGTAAAAAAATAACAAACCTTCAGCAGACTTTTTACCGGACTAACCCTTTGATAGTCACTAAGCATTTTATATATATAGTATGTGTAAAATATTTCAGTCTGTGTTATTAATGTGTTTGTACCTGCCTGGCCCACACAGATGGATCATATGCATATATACATTTTGGGGCCACCTAGTGGATATGAAACTTTAAAACCAATGTGGCCCCCATTGAACTACCCAGAATTTATCATATAGATCAATATAGCAGTTGAATGAATGCATACATATAATAATAATAATAATAATTTAGATTTTTTTAAAAAGGGTTAGTTTGGCTAAATTTCCAGATTGAAACAAAATGTGAAAACCAACCCAGACTTGGGGTTGGTAGGAGAATTTACCTTGGAAATTATAGACATAAGAACAAGATACATACATTCAAGGTGATTATGTTGAACGTTGGAATCTTAGACTTGAGGCTTCTTTTTGACAAATGTGCCACCAATACAAGTGCAGCAGTCCACGCTTGTGCACTGACTGGTGCGATCGTATCCTCACATTTAGAATTTCTCACTAAAAAAGCTGCACAATAAAGTTACATCCCTTCAAAGAAAGCTTGTCAAAAAAAAACATTGACTTGCAATGCTTAATGGGCGGTCATTGGTATTGAAAGAAATATGTAAAATAAAAATAAAGTTGCCTGTGAAGTGTGTTGGGTGAGAGGCCTCAGAGCAAGAGACGTACCTCTGTTTAAATGTGATTACTGCATTTGAACCTCTTGTTACAATTATTGAAAAGTCTCTTTGTGGCTCACCAGTGATTTTACACAAAAAATACGTATTTATTTGTAATAGAATATAAGTATATATTTGTGAGGAAGCACAACCATAATTTAAGAAGAAAAAGAAAATAATGTTAATACGCACAAACACAATATACAGACATTTGTTTAAGTAAGAGCTCTATATTCATTATTTTAAGGCTCTGGGTGGAGAGCTGAGGGTGAACTTCTTTTCCCTTTTCTAAAGATCTAAAGAGCGGATCTAAAGATGTGGCCTTTTGCTTGATAACTAGTAATAGCATCAAACTGTTTTAGGAGCTCAGAACTCGTTAGATGTATTTTATTACATTATTCATTTGTATGATTTTTAGATTTAGATTAGGTCATCTATCTTTAAGAAACTGTACTTTGAGCATCAATACTGTAGTATTACACTGACATCTAGTGGACTTACTGGCTACTTCACTTTAGTAATGAAGCTGGGGTACATGTTTCAATTTGGCCTTGAGTAGCAACTTTTGTGTCAGAAATAAAGATTGATTGATTGATTATCTGATTTTTGTTGTATTTTACAGTAACATTTAATCTACTTTGCTGATATTATGTACCCTGTTAACATTCTCAGATGTAATGGAGATGGGGTGTCAAACTCATTTTGATTGGGGGCCTGTACAAAATCAGTTTATTTCTGAGAAAAGGGAATTTATTGCTTGGATTGAAACAAAACTGCACCAAATGTTGTTATATACAGTGGGGCAAAAAAGTATTTAGTCAGCCACCGACTGTGCAAGTGTTCCCACTTAAAATAATGACAGAGGTCTGTAATTTTCATCATAGGTACACTTCAACTGTGAGAGACAGAATGTGAAAAAAAATCCAGGAATTCACATTGTAGGATTTTTAAAGAATTTATTTGTAAATTATGGTGGAAAATAAGTATTTGGTCACTTCAAACAAGAAAGATCTCTGGCTCTCACAGACCTGTAACTTCTTCTTTAAGAAACTCTTCTGTCCTCCACTCGTTGCCTGTTGTAATGGCACCTGTTTGAACTCATCTGTATAAAAGACACCTGTTCACAGCCTCAAACAGTCAGACTCCAAACTCCACTATGGCCAAGACCAAAGAGCTGTCAAAGGACACCAGGAAAAGAATTGTAGACCTGCACCAGACTGGGAAGAGTGAATCTACAATAGGCAAGCAGCTTGGTGTGAACAAATCAACTGTGGGAGCAATTATCAGAGAATGGAAGATATACAAGACCACTGATTATCTCCCTCAATCTGGGGCTCCACGCAAGATCTCATCCCGTGGGGTCAAAATGATCATGAGAACGGTGATTAAAAATCCCAGAACCACACGGGGGGACCTGGTGAATGACCTGCAGAGAGCTGGGACCAAAGTAACAAAGGTCACCATCAGTAACACACTACAACGGCAGGGAATCAAATTGTGGAGGGAGTTGAAAGTCCGTGTTTACTGCTCTTGAGAAGATCTGCATGGAGGAATGGGCCAAAATACCAGCTACTGTGTGTGCAAACCTGGTTAAGACCTATAGTAATCGTTTGACCTCTGTTATTGCCAACAAAGGTTGTATTACAAAGTATTGAGTTGAATTTTTGTCATTGACCAGATACTTATTTTCCACCATAATTTACAAAGAAAGTCTTTAAAAATCCTACAATGTGAATTCCTGGATTTTTTTTTCACATTTTGTCTCTCACAGTTGAAGTGTACCTATGATGAAAATTACAGACCTCTGTCATTATGTTAAGTGGGAGAACTTGCACAATCGGGGGCTGACTAAATACTTTTTTGCCCCACTGTATATCTAACAATTTGACTAATAATTATGTCTAACAATCCATCAATGTTCTTGATCAGATTGTCATTTTATCTAAGGATGTAGGCCTTCTTGGTCTGTACATGACTTGTCCTGCAGGGCCTTGGGCAGTTCTTGACTTAAGTTCAGTGTTGATTCATGTAGAGATACTAAAGGAATGAAAATAAAAAAAATACTGTATGGTGGACAACTATGACCATGCTGGAGCTATCATCAGACAAAGTGAGTCAAATAAAAATATAGACAAAAAAGGTTTTACTTCAATTATTCAAATTTCTCAGGTGGGACGACTTCCAAGAGCAGCTGCAGATGCATGGTGATGGGTCCTGGAATTTCAATGACACATTTCAATTCAACAGAAAGAACACCTTGCTTTTGATCTCTCAGTATAAACTTACTCATCATGTTATGGGCCCAAGTGACTTGCTTATGGACAAAGATAAAATAGAGGATGAGTCCAAATAAAATGAAAGCAGTGCAATAGACATACTCTATTTCTGGTTTATCAATGATCGGAGCCAGCACCAGGTAGAAGGACACCAGTGTCATGAGCACTGCCAAAACAACCGGCACCTTCACAAGCAAACCATCAAATACACATTATTCATATGTTCAATATCCCAGTATTTATGAGATCAAACTTGACGACCTTGACTGGCCTGTGGAGTTCCTTTCTTGTGAAGCGCATCACAATGAGGGATAAGGCTGTCAGGCCATAGAAGAACCACTGAGCAAAACTGAAGTAGTTAATCAGGGTGTTAATGTCTGAAGGGATGATGTAAAGTAGAGACAAAAGACCCTGTAACGGTTGAAAATACATCAATATATGGAACTGAACTTTACTAATCATTTGAACTTACATTAAAAATCAGTGCAGGTGCTGGTGTAAAGCGTTTGAGGTTGATATAGGATAATATTTTTACCATGTGGCCTTCTCTACCAGTTGCAAATGCTAGTCTGTAAGGAAAATACACTTAAATCATAGTAGAAACATGATTCATCTGTATGCGTAAGCATATTTTGTAATAGACTATTACAGGTGGCTGTAGATATAACAGAATAATTTAACAACTTGAACTTGAATTTAACAACAGCTGAATTACTAAACCAAATAATATTGTTTACAAAAATGTGTTTAGTAGTTTAACTATTACCTTACAGTATTATTGTTCTCCTTCTGTCACCTCTATAATGCTTGGATCAATACCTGCCAGCAGTGAAGCAACTTCCATTGGCCGATCCAAATGTGGAAAAGACAACAAAAAGTGGAACAATCCATGACATGGGGTAAAGAACTCGGTCTCCAAAGGTCTGTGGGCCATCAAACATGAGGAAATCAGCTTTTAGACATGTGTGTGGTGTGAGTCCAGCTGTTTAGTATAGACAAAATACATATTCACAGTCATATATTTGAGTATGTACATTATAGATACTTTGCTTTTGCTTGTATTGGTTCAGTCATTAGTAAAACAAAGATTGGAGGATATATTTTTGTATTTCCTCAAGCATGTCCAGGCAGAATATTATTATTTTTTTAAACTCATAATAGTGATGCTTTTAGTGATAGTGGCCCTCATTTATGAAACTTGTGCAGAAAATGGTGTCAATTTTGGGTGTTCATTCAAAATGCAAGACCCAACGTGGGATTTATGAACGTGTGAGATGCGCCCAGATCGGAGCGCACGCACCTACGGGTGTTTATAAATGCAGCGGCTGAATACGAACGTATTTATGAAAGTCATGCCTAGAAATATGCCGCAATCTTCTGTTTCACGCCCTGTTTTACGACAGGTCAGCATGGAAGCCGGCCAAGAAGACTGTTTGGAAGCCTCAAACGGCCTGTGGCACATTTGTTTGTTCAAGTTTATGTAAAAATAAATATACGCTACATTCATTTGCATTTCCTTTGAACATCCATCCATCTATTTTCTTCCCCTTAATCCATTTCTGGGTTGGGGGGGTGGCAGTCAGAGCTGCACCCAGTACACCGAGCACCAGCCCCTCTCTGATCCTTCTGCAGGTGGTGAGTCCACAGGAACTGAGATCTTTCAGTGGGAGCTTCAGGCAAAGCAGGGTTAAATGTCTTGCCCAAGGACACAACGACAGGAGACATCAATGGGAGTTGCGGCAATTTTTTTGGATACATTACATAAATCTCTCTTGAACAGCAGAACTAACTAAATAAATAAAGAATGTATTAATTTATTCATAAATATTGATAACCTCAGCGGTAGCTCTCATCATTAACTGAATGAAGCGTCTGCAGCATCTTGTGAATGCAATGGAGCACTGTACACTTGAGAGAGGATGAGAAGGTTTTTGGAAGATTTCACAGAGAAACTCTGGATCCAAAACTTCTGAATGATGAGCACTACATATGCGGCGCAACCTCTCAGGGCACCCGCTGCGCACTGCCCAAGAGACACGCGCATTTCCATCCTGTCTATAATTGCTACATGTGGACAGGGCAGTGAGACATTTGAAGTGAGCAAGACCATAGTCCATTGGGGGTGACAGTGGCTCAGTTGGTAGAGCATTGGCCTTAGAGCCTGAAGGTCGTGGGTTCAAGCCCACCATAAGACCTACTTCACGACTCCCACTGATGTCTGCTGTCGTAGTGTCCTTGGGCAAGACACTTAACCCCACTTTGCCTCGAGCCCTCACTGAAAGATCAGGGCTCCTGTGGACACACCACCTGCAGGAGGATCAGTGAGGGGCTGGTGCTATGTGTACTGGGTGCAGCTCTGACTGCCACCCCCCAACCCTGAAATGGATTAAGGGGAAGTAAATCAATGAATGAATAAAGATCATAGTCCATCGGTGTGTTCATGGGGTGTCTGTGTGAGGCTTTCATAACTAATGGAAAAAAATACATAATAGATGGGTCACACATCCCTGTTGCTTAAGTTAGTAGGTAAGTAGAGTGTATTTATATAGTGCCTTTCACAGTCCAGGATCAAAAAGCATTTTTTAAAAATACATATGAAAATAACACAAGTCAGATTTCAAAACGAAGAAACAGAAGAGGGTCCTCATCATGATGTGATTTATTCGAAATTTGCGTGTTTCCATTAAACATTGTCCTATGCGCAAATTCATTGGTTTGTACTTTAGTTGATGTTTAATTTACTTAATTTGATTTATTGTAGGAGTCAGTCATAGAAACATATCATGAACAGATTCATGAAGCTGATGTTTCAAAAAACAATCTCAAAAATTAAATATAAATGTGCCAATAATACTAGGCCTCCCCCTGTGTACCGCTTACTGTAGGTACTGTCATGCTGTATTGCATAGTAAGAAATTGAAACTCCCCTAAACATCTTGGTATGTATCGAGCCCAACATGCAAAGGTGTTTTATCATTGTCCAATCGACATTTTTAAAAAGGTTTAACCAATGAGTTGCAAACAAAGTTGATCCAATCCTACGCTGCATTTTATCTATAATATAATATAACATTGCAAATGTTTTTTGTTAAATTTTGGATTTCAGTAGTCTGTAATTAAGTACATTTTCAAAGTAGTCTCCCCAACTCTGGTGACCTGTGTGTTAAACTTACCACCGCAACAGCTGGAGAAAGCAGCAGCTCACTGGGCGCCATGACAGTAAAATAAGCCACATTGATCAACACATAACACACCGTCACCAGAGGAATACCGATTATAATTGCCAGGGGGAGATTCCTATGTGAAAGGGTTGTTATGTATGAATTGAAGTTGCTCAAACAAATCAATTTTGTATTGTTATACCTATGAGGATCTTGTAACTCTTCTGTAATGAAGTTCAATTGGTTCCTGTAAATAAATAGTAAAAAATAATGAGGATGATGTTTCATTTGAACTCCGACAATGTCACAATGTTACCATCCATCATATGCCCAGAGACCGTTGTAAAATGCAAGACCAATGGAACCTAAAGATACTGACGAGGTTTCAAATGCATTGGAAAAATGTTCTGTTCTTCCTGTGTACAGGAAAAACGCACTGATTAACATATTTTTATATTATTTCAATCATTCTGAGCGCAAAACTCCAACCTTGACAGAGCATCACGATGCCAGCCACAGCAATGACGGCAATGATCACTAGTTTGGCTGCAGTGAAGATATTTTGCACATAACTTGCTAATTTGACACTTAAACAGTTGACTGTGACAATTGAAACTGAGAAGAAAAAAGAGTAAACTGTGAGCCGAAAAAGTTTGCCAGGAATCATACATCAGAGAGGCAACTCCATCATTCTTACATAAACAAATACCTCATAAACCCACACATTTGGAAAGATAAACTTACACGTTGCAGCCGTGGCGAGGCATTTGGTAACGACCACTGGAGGAGTGCACCCGGGGTAGAAGGGAGCGGAGGCATATTCTGCAAAACTCAGAGCAATGATTGCAAAAGAGGAGGGCTTCAGAACCATAACTGTGGTCCAGGAGTACAGATATGCAACAATAGAACCAAAACTTTCCAGCAGGTAAGAATGCTCTGCCCCAGACTTTGTTATCATGGTGCCAAGTTCAGCATAGCACAGTGCTCCTGTAGAAAGTACACAACAAATACACAACTTCAATCTCACCTCATTTACTGTATTGATCACATTAATATGCTTTTGTAATGCACAGTAAACTTGTTGTTTATTTTTCTGTGCTTATAATACAATTAACAATTAACTATGTGCCAGTAATAGAGCACTTGTTTTATCTTTTTTGGACATTTAGACGCTTCACAATAATTCACTCCATACACAGTGGTGATAAACTTGGCCTTCTGGCCACCACCAGCTACTCACACCAGAATCATTCTTGGCCAGGGTTCTCCAACCTTTTTCAATCGGAGAGCTACTTTTATACTACAAAAGAGGCAGAAAGCTACTCCTTTTTGCCGTCATAATCTATACAATACAATAGTTTTGACAAAACAATAACACTGTTAAACACTATATTTATACTGCCACTATATGTGGTTTAAGAGTCTTTCCTATGGACACAATGACAATTTGGCACACAGCCTCTGCGCTGTGGCACCTAGTGTCCCTGGAGTACAGCCATCACACAACTAACCAGTCCTTGCCCTGCTTAGCTTCGGAGGTCTGACATGATCTGGCTTTCTCTAGCAGGCGACGCCCCAGTAGATTACTGATTGCATAATGTACAGTATTAATCTATGGTAAATGGATTTAAAGTTACATTTTAACTTACGTTGTATATGTGTCCCCAGAAGTGAGGTAAACTAGCCTGACCCGCCAGAACCACACCATAATTTCAAACAGAATGGAAACAGATAATAGAAGGGCCTGGCTGGTTAGGAACGAGGTAAATATGTTCATATCAAATATGCCATAAGAAATAAAACATAAAGGAATACCAAAACAATGAAGGCCACATTGTCTTTGTGAACATTTCTCAAGTTCAGTTTGCAAAACAATCTTGAAGCAGAGTGAGCCTCAGTTGAATCACATTTTAAAAGTCGTGCTTTAGCAGCAGCTTAACACTGTGTATGGAGTGAATAAATAATGCAATATGAAGCATCTAGAGTGTCTTGAGAAATCAATACAAGCATAAATGTCAGATGAGTGCACAAGTGATTTGCACTAAACAATTTTCTATAAATTCTTGTCATTGAACTGGTGTTATTTTTGAAAGATAGTTAAGTCAATTTATTTATCTTATCATTCCATAAATTACAACATAGGACCCTACAATGATTGTTGATGTGGTTTTGTCACTGAGGGAGGTTTGCTCACTGTTGCGTTCATCATACTTTTGGGATTATACCTAATCTATTCTCACCAAGAGTGGACAGGACCCCACAAGCGACCCAGATCAAGAGACAGGGCCCCACTGCCCCGGAGTACAGTAGCACAGATTTAGGGGAGATGAAGATGCCTGAGCCAATCATAGTTCCTACAATCAGACTGATTCCACTCAGCAGACCCACCTACAACCACAAAGTTAAAACATTAACACTGTTAGAAAACGCATGGACGATTGAGCTTGCATATCTTCAGTGGGAAAGACAGTGGATGCCAGCACTTGAAACTGTCTGGTGCTAAAGATGTTATCTGGGTGGATAAAGGAATTCAAAAAATACTTTCATCTTTCTGGAGCATTATCTTTATGGACGTATTGTGTTTATTTTCACCGGAAACATTGCAACAGTTTGCACCATTTTCTGGTTTATGATGCTTCAGACTACTGGCTTGGTCCATTTCTGATTTCTAGGAAAATAATCAAATACATAAATATGGTTAAAGTTGGGAGAATGACGTTTGGAAAGTTATTTGTAAAACTAATTGGGTTAAAATGAAAAATATAAGGCACATACCTCTGAGGGTGATTTGGATAAACTTTAACAAATAAAAATGTTCCAAAACATACGGACAGTCCAAATGTCACAGCACAAAAGTTAGGCATTAGGTGAAGCAGGAATGTATTTGCAAGTCCTCTGGTGGGAGGAGCCAGGCCTGATTGGAAGAGCTGGACAGCCCAGTGCAACAGGGGGCCAGAGTCTTACATCTATTTATTTTTTTAAACTGAATTGAAGACTTTTTTGCTAAAAATATGTAAATGTAACCTCTATTCGCTCTATTTTATGTTAGGACTATTTTGGACAAAGATCACATTTTCATCCTGATGTTGCTGGGTTGATTTCAACACAAAGCTTCTTTGATAGAGACATATGATACTTGGGTTCTCAGAGCTGCATTCCCCGTCTGATCTTTTCTTCCTTGTGCTTTTGAATAACTACATTTAGACTATATATTCATGATACTGTTTATCCAAATATTGTACTGTTTCTTTAGATGATGTTCAGCATACAGTTACATTGAAAGTAACTTGAATAAATCCTTATGGCAGCACATCAAAGATATAATTAGGATAGTCAGTTTTAGTGGTGCATACTATTGTGTTTTACCTTGTTTTATTAAACATTGATGAATTTTATGCTATTTTCACACACAGTATTTGTAACATTGACAAAGTATTCTTGATACTTTAGTATTCTAATAAATAAAATTCATTATTGATACATTACTTTGATTGTAACAGGTAGACCTGTTCAGTATGTCTTAACTAAACACATTTCAAGGTATTCTACCCATCCCTGCATAAGATCTAGTAATGTTGTTACCATTGTAGACACCTCTTATTTGTGTCCGAAATGGATATAGTAAATTCTAACAGCTTTACACCTTGCCGGGGACTAAAGTTGAAAACTAGCTTTTGTAGCTAATGTTCAACTATATCAATAAATAAAAATGTATATATATATACGCCAGATACGGACCGACTGAATGATAATGGCGAACCAACCTGATATTGTGGTGGTATACAATATGTCTATAGACAAAGGGCAAGTGTGCAATCAGAGCAAAAGGTGCTACTTTGAAGAACCTAGAATATAGGACTTTTTTTCTTTTTTTTTACATACATAAATCCACACACATATATATATATATATATATATATATATATATATATATATATATATATATCAGTGGTGGATCAGTGGAGCACTCAATAACCATCTTTTATGAAGTATTGATTCTCACTTGGTCATGCATCTACATTAATTATGCATTTTAAGTCCGCAGCCAACCAAAATATTGGTGCAACTTTTTGCCGCTGACAACATTATTATAGCTTCATAGTCCCAGTGGAAAATAAAGACCACAAAGAGGCTAAAGTAGTTTCATATTTCAGTGAACATTATCCCTACAATTGCAACGTAGTGATTTTCAGCTCCTATTTATAGATGATACATCGGATGTATCTAAAATATCTGATATAGTCATTCTACAAAAGACCTTGTGTTTTCCAGCTGCAGCTGGAAAACACAAGGTCTATGGACAGAAGACTTTTGCATGTGGTAATGAAAATGATTAAATACACAACAATTTTGATGGTTCTTCTAACCATGTCGCAAGGTTGAAACAAATCTTTTATTTTGGTCATCCAACTTTGGTCAACCTTTGGTTACTCATAGGTAAAACCACAAGGAAATAGAAAAGAGTAAAGAATGTTAGAGTAAAACTATTGAAAACATTAAGTAGAAAATATTTGTATGTGTTCAAGTCAAAAAGTGACATTTATTTTGATTGAATATTGACTGACAGTGTAAGTATTTGATCATACAATATTTTGTAGTGTTATCAGTCCCAACGAGTATTGTACATCATTTTTTACACAACTCTTTACGAAGATTGAGATTAACACGCCGTCTTCATCTCATTAGAAACACTGAGAGCTGATGGATGGCTAAGTGAGGGCTGCTACTAAACATGTGGTTATTTTTATAGTTATGTTTTAGTGTAAAAATTAGGGTCCCAAGCTTTAACTGAAAATACTTGCCAAAGGTCAATTCTATAGGCATGATAAGATTATTATTGATGCTAATCCTCAGTATAATTTCACTGTCCTGGAACGATACCGCCTGAAGATGGCAGTAGAGTCCACTATGAGTCCACCAGAGAGCAGCCTGGTCCACCTCCTGCGTCACTTCCACCAAAACAACAAGCGCCCGCCGTACAGATTCAGAAGTAGTATCATGGATCTATTATAATAACAGTACACACACAACACGCCTTCAGCCTTTGACAGCGAACACACTGGCCAGAAAGCAAAGATGAACCACTCACTAAAGCACTGGAAGGAGGCGGCCACGCTGATAGTGGCCGCAGAGCAGCGACTGTGTGCGGGAGCGGTGACCTCAAGGACACCGCCGCCACACGCCACAAGTAACTACAACATCTTACTGCTCAAGAGAAGCGGCAGAAGCAGCTTTATGCCCAATGCTTACGTCTTCCCCGGAGGACTGGTGGACCCCACAGACTTTTCTAGCGAGTGGCTGGACATTTTCAAAAAGTTCAGCAATAGCCCCAATTTCGGTTTGAGACGCGTGATACAAAAATGCGAGACTAGACCGCCTTTATTTGCCACTGATAGACTAAAGCTGGGCTCTCCCATTCCAGGTGAGGTGGCTTTTCGCATCTGCGCCTTGAGAGAGACGTTTGAGGAGTCGGGAGTGCTTCTAGTTGTTCCCAAAAACGAAGAGGAGCGTGTGTTCAGAAGCACAGAGGTCACTGTTAACGAAAGTATCACTGACATATGTCCTGACGAGCTGACCAAATGGAGGTCGTTGGTAAACCAGAACCCTTCCAACTTCATTAGGATGTGCAGAGAGCTGGAGGTGCTTCCCAACATCTGGGCCCTGCACGAGTGGTCCAACTGGCTGACCCCTGAGGGCAGATATGGGGGCAGAAGATTTGATACTGCCTTTTTTATTTGCTGCTTGAAAGAGATACCCCATACACTCCAGGACCAAAAGGAAATTGAACTCTTCCAGGTTAACTCAATTAGATATTCGCTTCCCATCACATCAAGGGGCTCAGTCTTTTCCTCTTGGTGACAATGTAATCAATATAATGATGAGTTTGCATGTCAGGCTGCAACAAATAACACAAATGAACTGCTAGAACCAATATGTTAAAGCTCTCAAAGTTTTCTACCACTTTTTTCTCTTTGCTGAGATCCACAATGTTGTGATTCTTCTGAATATTATATATTATTATATATCCCCTACTGATTCTTAGTGCCTTGGAGGTATAGCTGCAGGTAGTGAGCTGTAATAGATTCTTCACCACTGTTGTTTTTATTTGTGAGTAAAGGTACTGCCAAATAATGCAAAATAATATACTTTGTCTGTTGTCTTCCTTCAATTGCAAAGGCAATCCTTAACTATTTTACAAAAATAGTCAAGGATTCTTAGGAAGAACTTCACTGTCCTGTGATCCACAGTGATGATCCAATCTATCATATACAGCCCTGTACTACCCCCCAAGGTGCAAAGCATTATGTCCAAGTAGCAAATTGCTTTCTAAAAAGTCACGAGTTTACTTTCAAACACACACATGTGCAAAAGAGGATCAATGTTGAAACAATTGTTTTTAATTGGATTTAAATCAGTTTAACACCTATTTTTACATCTGGTAGCTGCCAAACCACAGGTTGCCCATGATCATATTGTCTTTACAGTGGTCTCCAGCCTCAGAGGTCCTGCAGAGCTACAAGGCTGAGGAGTTTTGGATTGCCCCTCCGCAGTTTTACGAGCTGAGCCGTCTGTGCCGTTTGCCCTCACTGGATGCCCTCCACACGTTTGCCAGTGAGCGTGCTGTGGAAGGCTGTGAACGATGGCTGCCTTTTGCTACTGTGGAAAATGGCCAACCTGTCTCTTTATTACCAGGTATGCAAATTCAGTTTAAAATATACAATGGGTTGTTTTTATTTTGTTAGGAGGGAGCAAGTTTAAAAAGAGGGATTTATGGCAGTCCTTCAGGACAAAATGCCAGATAGCTACGCCTATAGCAGTGAATACAGTGGGGCAAAAAAGTATTTAGTCAGCCACCGATTGTGCAAGTTCTCCCACTTAAAATAATGACAGAGGTCTGTAATTTTCATCATAGGTACACTTCAACTGTGTGAGACAGAATGTGAAAAAAAATCCAATTCACATTGTAGGATTTTTAAAGAATTTATTTGTAAATTATGGTGGAAAATAAGTATTTGGTCAATAACAAAAAATCCACTCAACACTTTGTAATATAACCTTTGGTGGCAATAACAGAGGTCAAACGATTACTATAAGTCTTTACCAGGTTTGCACACACAGTAGCTGGTATTTTGGCCCATTCCTCCATGCAGATCTTCTTGAGAGCAGTGATGTTTTGGGGCTGTCGCCGAGCAACACAGACTTTCAACTCCCTCCACAGATTTTCAATGGGGTTGAGGTCTGGAGACTGGCTAGGCCACTCCAGGACTCTTGCGTGGAGCCCCAGATCGAGGGAGATTATCAGTGGTCTTGTATGTCTTTTCTGATAATTGTTCCCACAGTTGATTTGTTCACACCAAGCTGCTTGCCTATTGTAGATTCATTCTTCCCAGTCTGGTGCAGGTCTACAATTCTTTTCCTGGTGTCCTTCGACAGCTCTTTGGTCTTGGCCATAGTGGAGTTTGGAGTCTGACTGTTTGAGGCTGTGGACAGGTGTCTTTTATACAGATGAGTTCAAACAGGTGCCATTAATACAGGTAACGAGTGGAGGACAGAAGAGCTTCTTAAAGAAGAAGTTACAGGTCTGTGAGAGCCAGAGATCTTCCTTGTTTGAAGTGACCAAATACTTATTTTCCACCATAATTTACAAATAAATTCTTTAAAAATCCTACAATGTGAATTCCTGGATTTTTTTTCACATTCTGTCTCTCACAGTTGAAGTTTACCTATGATGAAAATTACAGACCTCTGTCATTATTTTAAGTGGGAGAACTTGCACAGTCGGTGGCTGACTAAAAACTTTTTTGCCCCACTGTATGTATATAATGGCATATAGTACCCATAGATGTGGTAGATAGACTCTCATAAAACATGTTTTAGTGCACAATAGTACAATGTTTTACCAGAATCAGAAGTTGTTTTCAATTTCTTTAGACAGTTGGTAGCTACATGCAAAGAAGTGGTGAGCTTGTGGACCCCTTTCATATGCAGTAATAATGCAACTTCATGTTTCTTTCAGGGGACAAACATTACCCAGGCGATGTATTTGAGTCAAGCTCAGGCCATGATAGAGATTCTGCACTGCACCGCTTTGTCATTGAAGGTTCATACGATATAAGACTGCAGATAAATATCACCCCCAAGTACAAGCACCTGCTGCCTGTACTACCTCCCAGCTCCAAAAGTCTGCTGTGACCTGGACACTCTTTTCTTTTTTGGTAAATACTAAAAACTCTGTGACCACTGCTCAAAAGCTTTGATGGGATTTTTTTTGTAGAAGGAGGAGTTAGTCAATTATTGATGGATGGTACAATATTAATCATGTTCTCTGCTGAAGTGGGAAGATGTTTGCTATTTTCTTTTGAATAGAATACAATATTATGATTATTGTTTTGGCTTAATACTTTTTAAAACACTAATATTCTTGATGCTTCAGAGACATTCAAGTTGTTTTAATTTTATTATTTATGTAGCTCTGTAACAATTTACAGTCCATCAAAATGTTGTCACTGCAACAAGCCTAGGAGTTGTCTGTGCTTCACCTTTTGTCAAAAAACTACACTGCACAACACTGTATATTTGTGGAGGAATTCTATGTCTGACATGCATATGTCACTGCAGGACTGACTGCTGAGCTCTCGGCTTACCTGCTTGACTTCCTCTTTCACAGTAGGGCTGAATTAATAATAAATGAATAACTCCTGAGGAATCGGCGAATAATAACATTTTAGTTTACCCTAAACATGAAATATTATTAGTTAACTGTTAAATAATTATAACGTTTGCTGTTTGGGAGTTGCATTCTGAAAAGAAAAATCACCATTTCTGTTTGATTTTTGATATGTATATAGAAAATGTGCTGCCTCACCTCAATTGTGTCTCCAACAATTAAGGTGTTTCTATAGCAACCCGCAGTCTTTTAAAGCAAGTTTCTTATCTGTAAACGGGGACCGCAATACAAGGATAAATGCTTGATAAGCTGAGGTTAATTTTGTCTTTGCTTTCACGTCTTTTCATAATCTGGGGTATCTTACTTTTTTCATAAGTATAGATATATTTTTCTGAACAAACTAGACCACAACTTACTTTCTTTGTACTGGCTGTAATTGTAATTAGGCCTTTATTTTTTGATCCCCAATGAGACCTTCTCCACCAACTCCCACTAATGTCTGCTGCCGTTGTGCCACAGACAACTTAACTCCCACTTTGTCTGAAGCCCCTGCTGAAAGATCATGGCTATTCTGTCACCGATAGTGCAGCCATCCTCCTGTGTGCTCTCCACCTGCAGGAGGATCAGTGAGGTGCTGGTGCTCTGTGAATCAGGTGGCAGCTACCACCCCCCCTGACTCAGAAGTGGATTAAGGGGAAGGCTGTTTACTGACAGGAAAATGCTGGTTCCTATTGGGTATTGAAGCCAGACTCGTACAATCTGGACCAGGCATCCATGATTAAATTGTTTATCTTTTGCATATTGTAAGAAAGAGCCTTTTAAGTCACTATTTTAGTGGCGGAGCAACTTTTCTTTTCTTTTTTTTTTAACTAAGTTTAAATGTTTGGTACCCCATCTTTAACTTTCTGCTCTTTGGTTGGACGTGTGATAAGTTATATATTCCATTGCTCTTGTCAGTTGTAACTAGGAAAAAAAGATCAAATATTTTATGAGTATAAGTTATTTCTACCTCCTAACGTCACCCTGAGAAAATACCATTACCAATAACATTAACGTAACAAGCCTTTACATTTTAGCTTATGATAAACAAATGTGCAAAATTTGCCCTAGTCTGACATTAGCTCCTGTTTTTAGGTCTCATGCGGTGTGCATGAGTGACTTTGTTATGTTTGTTAGCAATACAATTAGATACATTGTCACTGCACAGACACCTCCCAAACTTTACAGGCTGGATGTCCATTTTAGGTGCTATAATAAAAGATAGTGCTGTAGTGTTGTGTGGCTCTGTTTCTGTCCAAAAAGCAAAACAGAGAATAGTTTGTGCTAACTCTAAAGGCTCTTTTTAAGTCGCATCATAATAACAGCAAAGACATACCAAACCGGGGAAAATACTTTAACCCAAATGCAGATATGAATGTCACTCACTTACTGTGCACTTCTTCACCTCAAACTTCCATTTAACTTGGGAAAAGTGTATATTATAAACTAAGATTAAAAAGTAGCATCAAGCTTATTTTTGTACTCAAATTTTCTGTGTAAGTATATAATTACGTTTGTCCCTTCCGTTTTCTCAACTCATTATGTGCGTTATCCTTCTGGTCCAGCCTGCAGTTTGTCTTGAGTTTATTCTTGGAAGCTCTACAAAGTCTTTCACACCATTAGAGATAAATAGCAGATGAGCTGGTTTCTGGCTCTGCTTTAAGCCACAGTCACCCATCTCTAAGACCATAATCCTCTGCCCACAAATAAATATTTAGTCAATTTTATAATAAAACTTCACAACAACGTAATACATCATTAATATAAATATACTTTATTATATGTACATTACCTGAAACAGCATTCATCTGTATTTTACCTTCAAATGTATTACATTCAATACTGTTTGCAAAGAAACCCTGAAAAGAGTGCTCCCAGTGAAGGGTGCAGATTAAAGTCCTTCAAGTCTAAAGGCTGCCATGATGCACATAGTGTTCTGCTGTGATTAACAATGGAACAGGCAAACGTTCTGTGAATAATCTAATATTAGAAAGTGTCCTTTGGAGTATACGGTGTTGTTGTTGTGTTGAAAGGGTCGAGACTGATCTCACTCAAAAGTAACACTTCCCCACTCTCACATTTGTTGCACTGGCTTAAATACTTTTAGCATCAATCAAGGGAATACACAACAGTAGGTGACAGTCATGCCCGATCTTTTCTAGACTTAATCCAGTTGGATTATGTTATTCAAATCGTTCTGGTGGCCAAACTGGCACGGCATTTGATACCACCTTCATCACTCGCTTCCCAACTACCACAAGGGAAATATTACCTCAGATTGCCAGGCTTTTATCCGTATACTATCTAATGCCACTTCGCCACGCAATCAACCAGGACCCGCTTTTATTGACCTATAATTGTGTTGCTCATTAATCTCTAAAGTCCCAATGTTATTTAGGACATGTTAATCACTAGATACCCAAGCACACCAGCCACACCAACAATGACGAAGAAAGCCAAGACCGCGCAGATGGAGCCCAACCCCGAGCCTTGACCCCCTCCGCCCCCGTCCTCTTCTTTGGGCTCTTCTTCGCAGATGGAGATGACTCCTACCGAGGAATTCCCAACGCTCATATTGGACTTGAGCTCTGCGCCCGCCTCTTGCTTGGCCTCCACTGCCCATGGAGCCACCTGCACCTTCATCTCCATCTCCTCCATCATCTGGCTCACCTGGCCGATCTCGCACTGTAGCTCCCTCAGGTCTGCCGTGTCAATGTTGCTGTCCGCCTCATATTTCATGTTCTGAACGCTCATGGCCCGGGCTGCCACTGTCGTTGTGCTGCCCGTCATGCCCGTCTGGATCAGGTGCCTAGTGGGGACCTTAAGCGGGAAATCCTGCCCTATCTCCAGAGAGCGTTTCATGTCCACCTCCAGCAGCTCCATGCTGCTGGAAAACAGCACCCACAGGCGCTCATATTCGGTGCGGTCCTCTTTGCTGATGCTCTTGTCTTTCAGCAGAGATGTTAGTTTAGTCCTATTTGCCACAGCTAGTTCCTGGGCCTTTTTACGCGTCCTTTTAAGTTCCTCACGTAAATTCTGAGAGTCTGATGTACTGCCAAGTGCGATCACCAAATGTCTGTAGCAAGCGGTGACTTTGTTTAAAGCGTCCAGCATTGTTTTGCACTCTTCTTTTCCCATGATTATTTTGTAAATAGCGGAGTTCCAAATTAAAGTGAAGGAGGAAAACTCAATCGGTTGCGTCTCGAGTCGCTGTCTTAGTTTAGTCCACACAGCTCCAGCTCAAATCCCATCAGCGCACTTGTTAAAGCAAATTCCTTTATATCCATACCTCTTCCTGTCTGCAGGCAGCGCGGCGCGCAGAGCAGCTTAGTGCGTCCGTAAACGGCTTTGGCCAACACCATCCCGCTGCAGATCAAACCTCACTGCGCAGATCACACTTGAGTTTTCAGGGTTCTCCAGAAATGCGATGATAAATGAAATTAGTCGTAGGTAGCGGTTTTATACGTAGAGCCTCCGCCTGATCCTCACTGAGCGTCTCTTGAGGATGATGAAGTGGTCTGAAGTCGTCGCGATGTTTATGCCACCATTCAGGCGTTATCTTTCCTCTTCACAAGAGCTGACAATTTATACACGGCATCAGTGGTGTTTAAATCACTGTAAGCGCCTCCTAGTCACAAATTTCCATCCATATAGGCTGAAGGAGTAAAACGGGCACGTCGCTTTCATTGGTCATGACGCACCACTGTCAGGATGAAGACACATACTCTATTGGCTATCGCCGCAGTAGGGGCGGGGCTTCTGTGACCAAGACCTAGAAACAAATCTCACCTTTCTCTCATACATTTCTACTTTGTAATCACTGCAGGAGTTTTGGAACAGTTCATTCAAAACATATCTGGAGGGAAATGTGACATACATTATTTGTCAAGCTCTCCAACACAAAGGCCTTACTCCTGGGACCAAGAAGGCCTTACTCCTAGGTCCTTCTTGGTAAACAACTAATGGTCAATTGGTCTGAGGTCAAACTGATACCACTTCACCCAATCCCTAAAGTACACTAAAGTAATATAGAAACATGATTTCCCTTCCAAAATAATTTTTTGAAAATTACAAAATTGCCTAATAGCTCCCACACCAGGGCAGCTGTTGCTATACTTTGGTAATTGACCATGGGATTATTGAATAATGCGCAAACTTGTGAAGCAACAGAGTCTACATTACTTCTAGTCTACAGTGCATTTTGCTGTGGAATCATTATGACCTTCTAGATCTACCAACGACTGCTTATTTGTTTCCTTGTATGTTAGAAGGGAGAGAAGTGATGTGTTTTCCTGCTTTGCTCTTTTGCCTTATTGAAGGTGCTTAGTAACAGCAGGGTAAAGTCATGTGACAACTCCACACAAGAATGTTGGCTATGGGGTGTTCATGTTTTGTTTTTTTATCACATATGATAAAAAAAAAACTCCCTCAGACACATGCAGGTAACTTAAATTCATATACATGAAATTTCATGTTGCGAGATCTCAGGGAAAAATAACTGTCTTTCCCTGTATCCATGTGTTTCCATACTCTGTCACCTATACTGAGACTTATTTGCGTATCTTTTTCCCAACATTACATTAGATTATAACTACAAAGTGTACATGTAAATGTCAATCCCGTATGAAATGTGTATTGGGAATAATTAGCTTTCTCTCAAAGTAATTGAAGGACAGAAAATAAACATAGCACCAACATTGATGAGGGACAAAAAGTGCACAATGAAACTGTTCAACTCTCAACCGATCTGACTTATAATTTAGCCAGACCATTCATGCTGCTCTTAGACATCAAGATTGTCAGATCTCTGAGGCTATGCGAGATGATACCAGCTTGGATAGGGTTTCACTGCAAATGGCTGTATTTGTATCCTCAGGCAAGGTTCCATATCGTGTGAATTAAATGGTGGTCGGAGGGAGTCTTGCTTACGCAGGTCTACTGCAGTGTTGTTGAAACTGACGTTTACAACTGGATATAAAAAATGCATATAATCCAGTTCTTGGGATTAGCACCATAATACCCACTAATGTACTTTTAATGGACTCCCTCCTCTCCCAGGCATTTTCATATAGATTCAATGCTTAAGTAGGAAATGGAGCCCATCACCACTCTTCCACATGAGCAATAATGGAGAGGGCATAAAGAGAATCAAGTATTACAATCAAACAATACTGAGTGATGTGCATTGTTTTTTATTTTATTTTACCAATGTATGTTTAATTCTGGTCTGTAATGTGACAATGATGTGTGACAAAAAACTAGAACACAATCCAAGAAGTCAAATCAACATGCTCAAAAGCAATGTATCAATGTTGTTCTTTCCTTGCTAAACACATATTTTGGCCTTAATCTTCCTACACCACGAGCCATGATCCATTTGGCTTTGACTTTTTAGCACTTTAGCTTCTAGGAATCGCTTTGGATTAAATCTAATCTCTGATGATAGAAATCTGACTTTATGTCTTGCGTCTTGTATAAGATGGATGTTAATACTCACTATAATCTCTGCAATATTGCTTTTGTGAGCAGACAACATTTGTTGTTTTAAAAGACATGGGGAAGATGCAATAGAATGGGCAGAATCAAGACAAGGGAAAAGCAGAAAAAGAGTCTTTGTTGAATAATTTATGGTGCTCCTCCTCTCTGTGGTCTGTCAGCTGGTTGCAGCAGCCGGGGAACCAAGAGCCTTCCTTTAAAATACAGACAAATGCAGAATCCACACTCTTTAATCAGAAGAACTCTTCTGACTCCTGTGAAGCTGAAAGATAAGCTTTCCTTAAAAGCTTCATATGAGTTTTGCATTGATTGTTACAAATGGATTTACTCTCAAGAATGATGTTGTCTCATGGCTGCTTGCAATGGAGAAATCTCATTGAAAGAAATCCTGGTAGTAACATCATTATCTTATGTATATATGGCATTGTACGATATACATTTCAGTGCAGTGTGAAGGAACACTACATACATGACTATATTTCACCGTTACACAGTTAAATATGTTATGCAAAGAATTTACATGATCCACAATGAATAAGATTATTCTTTTCAAAATGTAACTGGACCTCATTGATATTCAATGTTCATCAATGAGAAAGAAGAAAGCCCTTCAGCACCAAAGAAGCAGTTTTGCTTCATAAAAAGAATGGATATCGGTTTTGAAAAATTCACAAAAAGTTGTATTCTTCCAGCTAAAGTCTTCAACATGTTTTTGGTGGCAATTGTTTTTTGTATTGCTCAAGAAGGGGTGACTCTTTATTCTGAACACTTTATTTTGTTGTGTTGTTATAGGCTATTCTATTCTAGTTCTATTCTAGTTTCACATAAAATATCTGAAAAAAAAAACAGATCTAATATCTACGTATAAGAATGTGCATGTTTATAATGTCCCAGTCTGTTTTGCCAATGAGAAAGGATAACAGATTGCCCTTCTCACAGAATCCCTTTTAAAAGGCGGGATTTATATGGACTGCAAAGGTGATAGAGCAGGGATAAGCCTGTGAGAGGTCAGAGGCCCTTTACTCGTGTGCCCTGTGTAGAAAATTTCGGGTCAATGAAATAATAAAAAATGATCTATTTATATTATTTTCATAATTTTATAATATGTGTATTCTTGACATCACAAAACAATTGTACTTGATCATAATAAATACTTTTTTTTAAAGTTAGTTTAGAGACACACTGTATTAGGGAAGATTTAGACCATATGACAGGTCACCAAAATACTCTGGACAGTAAGCGTTCTAATGTTTTAGTTTGAGTTCAAATCTGCTATATCACTATATGAACTAAACCTCAGCAGAACACTAATACATCCTCTTTCAAATATTGTATGTGGCCTATGATCATGGGGTTCAGCAGGAAGGGGTGTGTAAAGCAGATGTTTTACAAAGTTACAGCACTTTTACAATCAGATTTCCATCTATTGCGGAGAGAGAGCAAGAGAGGGAGCTCCAGAAATGGAAAGAGCTTCAGTTCTGCTTCAGCCTTTAAGCTGCTTTAGAGGATTGGCGAGTATTTTTTCTCTGCCTTGCTCTCAAACAGACAGCTGATATTGGCTCTGAACCAGAACAGGAGAGGCCAGAAGCCCTGAGCTTTTACTGCGCAGCTGCAGTCATAGGGCAGTAAAGGGCCAAGCTGCTTTGTCTTGACTTTGTAATCTACTCCTGGAGACATCCGACAGGTCTCTGCTATTGGCCGCCTCACACAAATCAGCAAAGTCTCCAGGTGACCAATGAATCTAATGAGACTAAGCTTAAAATAAAGATATAGCCATTTTAAAGTATATTAAATTGCCTACATTTAAATAAGTTCATGTTTTGTATATATTTTCTGAATGTTAAGGACATTGAGATGAATGTATTTCTTTGAAACATACAAACAAACATCTTATTACTTTGGTGTTTTGTAAACTGTAGGCCTATGTGTGTACAATTCACAACATACACACCAGATGTATTATTCATCCTCCATAATCTGCATAGAAGTTTTAAAAAAATCCAACTATCAAGAGTTGTTTGCCTGTTGTGTCTCCACAACAGAGCCTCCCAGATTGTCTGAAATGTCTCCTCTATGAGACGAATAAAGGAATATCTTATCTTATCTTAACAGAAGCTAACAAGCTACTGTACTAACAGCTACTCACAGGACAGTGCAAGTGGTCGGGCCTATGCAAAAAAAAAACACACATCACCATTATTTTTGATAATGTTGCTGTGGTTTTCATATTGCTAAATACACTTTAAAAATATATATTACATCAATGTATGGTCAATTATTCTGATTCTGATTCTGATCATTCACCAGATAGCTGATGGTTTTTCCAGTCTTTTCAAACATCTCCACTGCTGTTGTTTAACATTCTAAGATGTGTTCAGTGAATACATTTAGACATCAAAGCCTATTCATTCTTTTCGTCGTCAAAAGGCCAAAACTTTTCTGAACGGAACTGATGTATCGCCTAATTTGGTGGTGTTTTATTTAGATTTAATTTTTTTGGAAACCTCAAGCATATTTAGCTTTAGATACTTGAGTAATGCGCCATTACAAATAACAGAAAATCTATTATGGGATTGCTTACTGTATTATAATGTGAGGATATCATCGTTAAAGCATCATTAAACAGTTATACAATGTGACAACTCTGAGGAGCAGGCCTCCTGCTGGTGGGAGGCAGCATTTCAGATTAATGCCGCTCAAATCGGGAACGGTCCTCCTGAACATGTAAGAGCGGCTTTTACTCAGACAATGTTCTAAACAAGGTTAAATCACTTCTGTTCAGCTCTGCATACAACCAAAGGATTGCATCGTCATTCTGTTTACTTTTCTGTGGTCATTTTAATGCTCTTGCTTTTCCTATTTCCTGTTTTAGAGTTGTATTGGCACCTACCCTCCAATTCAATACGGACATATTTGCAAAGGAATTAAGAATCGAGTCATCCAGGTCATTTTATAGAGAGTTTGATTTGAGCGCCTCTCTGTGGGTGTATTTTAGAGAAGTCCCTGTGCTTGCCGTCAGAGGGCGCTCTCCTGATAACATCATTTCCCGGATTCTTCCGAAGAAATCCGAGATGTCCCGAACCAGACCCGGAAGGTCCCTCGGCCCTGTCATTCCGTTGTTAGCAATGCTTCATCCTATGGTTTTGTATGTCGTGAATGGGCACGCCTGAGCTGGCGTTGTATGTTCATCGTAATTCAGTATGCTATAAAAGTGTGATCGTTTTCACACGAACGAGCACCGAGGTATGTTGTTTATCTCTTATTTTACTGTTGTTTGTGACTCAACAGAGCACGCTAGCTTTGAGCTACCAACACAGGGCAGTTTTAGCCCTAATATTTGCCGTGCAGTGATTTTTGTGAGAGTATGGAATAGCTAAGTAGTGCTGGGCCGATTGTGTCGCTCTTCTAGTGTGATATAAAACCTGCATTACAGAACAGTGCATCGTGAATGGTTATAGCTAGAGCCATTTTCGTCCTAGAGGATTGTATTTGCAAATCTCAGATATGCTTGACTAAGGTTTGCATTCAAAACTCATTGTGGATCTCAGAAAGTTGCGTTGGTGTTAAAGCCTGTCGAACTAAAATAACCTGTATGCAACATGAAAGGTGCGCTCCACAACTTGGAGGGTGAAGGGTCTGCTTTTTGCTTGGGTCCATCTAAATGTTGTTGTTCCTGGTATGTTCACAGTATGTATTGAATAAAAGCAAGACAAAAAAACAAGTTACTATAGGCTGGTCCTGTATAGGTAAGCCCAATGGGTTGTGGACACCAATCCGAAAAGTTGTGCAATACTCCTTGCTCCTATTGTTACCAAACACATGAAATATCACATTCAAAAAACTAAATCTTAGTCAAGTTATGGCTTTTCTTGGTGAAAAGCCCCAGGTGTAAATTTTAAGTAGTTTGACTCCAGTGAAGTGACAGTCACTGAAGTTTTAAAATGTAATCATCAAATGTTAGAAGTCATGTCAGACTTTGTACAATGCAAAAAACAGGCATTCTATAGACCATATTTTGAAAGAAATTTTATTACTTACCGTAATATTTTACTACTTCTAATACTAGAAGTGGAATTGTTAGGAGAAATTCACCAGTTTTAAGGCTGGACCCTATTACTTTGTATATTTTTTTAAAACGTTTTTATAATTATGGAATCTATTTCAGTTCTTTAGAGAAGTTTGACTGTAAGCAATAGGTGGGTATTGCAATTAGTTCAATACTTATTTGTTTGGGGTTGACAGGGCGTATCTTTGTATTTCATAAAAAAGTAAAACTATTTCTGCTTGGCTGTGTCTGAAATCTATAATTGTTCTAAAAAAAAAAAAATCTTATCTTCATTATGAGATGGCTTGTCCATTTGCCCTTGTTCACCATTTATTATTAATCAATGGATTATTTAACCTGTAAAATCTGATTAAGATAAAATAGATGATTTGAGATAGTGATGGAAATCAGACTCATGCAAAACTGGATCTTTGTACGACAAAGCCTCCTGGCTGGTTTATTCACAAAATGGTCATTAATTTCAGACAGAACAAAATACACAGATACATTATATATGGACATTTACGTCTTCATAAAAAGGCCAAACCTCCAGTACCAAATAGCCTACACAACAAAAGTCTCTGTGGTCCTTGAGACCTCCACAAGTCCAAGTTATTAGTACTATTTTGTCTTGCATCTGTCCACCTGTGGAGTACATAGGTCACTGTTAACCACAATATTTCTTTTCTTTCTGTTTTTCTTTGCTAATGCAAATCCAAAAATTTTGGTTTCTTCCTTGCAGGTGTCTAAAGCCCTGAAACAACTCTAGTGTTGGTGGTGGTGCTACACGCTACATGATGTTATTGTAAGCAGCAAACAAATTAGGTATGTATCTTCAGCCGTATTGTCACCTGACAACCGCAATCGTTTGGAACATTATGAGTCTCAAACAGTCATTAAAGATCAGCACCTTAATTTTAGTCTGCTGATTCCAATCACATTGAATTTGACCCAAATATCTTTCTTTAATACATAGAATACTTCAATCTTTTTTCAATATTAGACAAAGACATAATTTTGTAGGTGCTCTTTTGGCCTAACTATTATTCCTGTCACTATATAAATAGAAAGTGCTTATGTAAAGCAGGAAAGCCTCATGGACTCTACAACAATGATGTGTTGTCGATATGTAGAAGTGTTGAGAGCCGCTAGCAATTTGTAACTTTCTCAAATGAAATGCTCACAATGATCCACTGATCAAAGACCATATAAACAATATTTAGATTTTTTTGGTTGTTTGAAAAATTGACAATTTTCTTATTTCAGTCACCAATTACAGAATTTTTTATTGCAATAGGCCAATCATGATCAGTAACTGATACATTAGTGCAACAGTGTCAGGTTTACTATGTATATAGCCTCAGGCTGGACTGGACCAGGACTGGTCTAGGACCCTAACCCCCCGAACGTTAACCAAAACACAATTTTATTTCACGCTACACACAATCCCTCTATTGCAATATAAACTGTCTTTGAATGTCATTGTTATTTTGTTGTTGTGTGCAGAGCAGGATGCAGTCTTCAAACCACCGACTGCGGGACATGGAGCAGCACCACCCACTGCTGTCCGCCTCAGGGGATGTTGAAGCTGGAGGTCTTGGGGCTGGTGTGATGACCAGTTCGCATGCTGTCCATTCAGGTGGAAATCGCACCTTGTGGTTCATCCAAGACGGCTGTGGTATAGTGTGTGCAACCATGACCTGGTTCCTGGTGCTTTATGCTGATTTCGTGGTGAACTTTGTCATGCTGCTGCCTGCCAAGAGCTTTTGGTACTCGCTCCTCAATGGGGCTGCCTTTAACTCCCTGGCTGTGTTTGCCTTGGCCTCACATCTTCGCACAATGTTAACAGACCCAGTAAGTGAAACTGAGGAAAAACATTGTTTTCAGTCTAAATTTGTAGTTTAATCGACTTGTTTACTCAATTTAGGGGGCTGTCCCAAAAGGCAATGCAACCAAGGAGTACATGGAGAGCCTGCAGTTAAAGCCTGGGGAGGTAATCTACAAATGCCCAAAGTGCTGCAGCATCAAACCTGAGCGAGCGCATCATTGCAGGTCTGTCCAACTGGAACATAGATCCTGGTTTAGTCAAGAGTTCTTCATTAACATTTACTTCGTTGGTCTCAGTATTTGTAAAAGATGCATAAAAAAGATGGATCACCATTGTCCGTGGGTCAATAACTGTGTGGGAGAAAAGAATCAAAGATTTTTTGTTCTTTTCACGGTAAGCAATAACAAAAATCCTGTTCAATTCTTTATGAAATTGATATACTGTTACTTCATTCATGTTGTTTTTATCACACAGATGTACATATCGCTGATATCTGCCCATGCATTGGGACTGAGTGGAATGCACTTTTTTACATGTATTAAAACCCAATGGAATGGTAAATGATTATTCTCTTGTTATTTTTGTGCAACCTCTGCATAAAAAAACAATGCATTGCTAATTGTCTGTATAATGTGTGCTTTGCTCTTGTCTTAAGTATTAAGAGAACACATCTGATTTTGATATAGTCAATTTAGATGTTTTTAGCTACCAACTATAAGTCTTCATCAGAACTAACCATCCATGGCGATGTCAAGTTTCAGCTAGTTCAGACTGACCACAGCCCTAACCCCGTTGCCCGGTGTCCCTTAAGACGATTGTGACTGTGTTTTGCTCAATTTTTATTGATTGTTTGAACTTGTTGGTCTTAGAAAAGTCTTAGAACTTGTTTGGGCGTCACGGTGGCCCTGGATAGCACTCTCGCTTCTCAGCAAGAAGGTCCTGGGTTCGAATCCCGGTCGAAACAGGTCCTTTCTGAGTGGAGTTTGCATGTTCTCCCTGTGTCTGCGTAGGATTCTTCCGGGTACTCCGGTTTCCCCTACCACTAAAAACATGCACAATAGGTCTGGCATGCGCCTCCTGTACTGGCGACCCCGCTCCCATCTCTGAGTGGAGGACAAATGCCTAAAAAATAACACTTGTAAACCGCTTTGTGACTCTGGTCTGTGAAAGGCGGTATATATGACCAGTGCCTCGTCTCAGTCCATGTGAGATCTGACATGTCACCAAGAATGGCTACAGTTCTGATACAGGCAGTTGGCAAAGATTAAATTAATATCTACTCTAACTGAATATCATAAAATGTTAACCAAATAAAATTAAAGTGCTCATATTCATATTTTTGAAATGGAACCAAATATTATTTTCCAGAATGCAGTACCTTCTCCCCTGGTGTATCTGTGCTGCTTCTCATCTTCCTATGTCTGGAAGCCATCCTCTTCCTCACTTTCACGGCTGTAATGTTTGGTACACAGATCCACTCCATTTGCAATGATGAGACGGTCAGTCTTGTTTCAGAACTTTGTTTTCTTCATTTAGTTTGATATTATTATTATTAATATTATTGTTTGATATTGAGGTTGTTTTATGTCAATTTGCTGCAGGAGATCGAACGCCTTAAAAACGAGAAGCCCACCTGGGAGCGGCGTGTGCGGTGGGATGGGATGAAAGCAGTCTTTGGGGGACCTCCGTCTTTCCTGTGGTGTAATCCGTTCACAGGATTACGGTTGCGACGTTTGATACTCCTGATACACAGCCGCCGTAGTGGATCGGAATTCTCTGTGTGAGGGGAGTGGGAATTCAACTGTCTCAAACCAATTGTGTCCTGTTGATATCCTGAGACATGTACTAAGATGGATAATCGGGATTCTTTTCCCAGAAGACAAGCTGCTCTAAAGGCCTGTACAGCCACCACAAACCTCGTCATGGTCTTGCAATCAAAGATCTCAAACAAAACTTCAAACTTGTCCATAATCGAAGCTCCTCAGTTTGTTTCTAAGCATGCAGCTCATTCTCAAGTGCATCTTAAGTTCACCATTTAAGATCTTAACTCATACTTTACCAAGGACCAGGAGTATGTGTAATGGATGCATAGAAATCAAATACGAAACTCATATCAAGACTGATTTACAGAGTGTATTATGAACAAAGGGATGGCTCCAAAATGCATGTTACCCATCTTGATCTTTGGCGCATTTGGACATTCTATGCGATTTTAAATTATGTGCCAGTTGAAAATATATATTTTTACCAGCTCTTCATGTTTTACATCCCTGTCTTTCCAAATGGACTGTTCATTCATATCGTTTGATGGCAATGCTGTTTTAAACATGATCAAATCGACTTTAATTATTTTAGTAATTCTGTTGAAATCACCCCATGCTGTTTCAATCATTCAGGTCTGTAGCGGTTGTTATGAGCATTTTGGATAGTTGAGGTTGGAGATTTATCTGGTGCAACTTCTGCTTTTAAAGGTGTGGTTCCCCCAATGAACAGTCAAGAAATCTCCCACCAAAACTATTCAGAGGCATATAAAAAATTGGCTGAGAATGGTAACGTTAGAAGAATGTTTATTTTGTAAATTTGTATAATCTAATATATTTACAATTTCAGTTAAAGCATATACCTTTGGAAAACTAAAATGGTTTTTGCTGTAGTTTGTCCACAGGCTCTAAACATGTGTGCAGTTGTTGGTTAAGGGGTGCTAAAATATGGCCCTTTCAACTCTTTAACACTATCTCGGAGAGGCCTTTGTTTTACTTGCCTGTAGCAACTACTTTTCTGTTAATAAACTGTTTATTCGTTTTATTTTATTAACTTGGTGGTTTTATAGGGCATATTTTTGCACTTGTTTTTACTAAATGCAGATGCATTAGTGGGCCTACATTTCTTTTTTCATGTAGTGTCACGGTTTGTTCTGTGGTGAAGCAAAAGTCCCCTTGTCTTTTATAATAGGTTATGGATACTATTTCAACAATGTCATTTTATTTGGACTTCAGCAATCAAAACCTGATCATGTGTCAATAAAAAAGATGTATAAATGTAATTTAAAAACACTCATTTGTCCATTAACCCTGAGCAGCCACCAGGGGGCAGTAGTGTTCGGCCGTGTCTGTGTAAGAACAAACATGGCGGCTACGGATGAAGGCATCAACATTCAGAACGGGGAATCTGTCGTAAATCGGTGGATTTTTGACTGTGAATTGTTTTTGGCCATCGATTCGTTAAAAAAGAAACGGTACAATGACTTCTGTGCTCATCGAGATGCACTTAACAGTAAGTGTTAGTCCAGTTATGTTTTTAAAAGTTCATAAGCTGTTTCGTTACTCACAATATTGAACCATACAGTGCAAGTTGCAACCATCCAATAAACAGATTGATACTGCTATGGTTTGGGTTAAATATGCTTCAAACTCACAGTACCAGGGACAATACGCCGTAATAATGACATACGTTAACGCACATGGTCTTCTGCAGGAGTTCTGTCTCGTCCTCTGGAGTCCAGCGAAACGACGCTCACTAAGATCCGACTCCTGTACTTCCTCAGTCGGATACACGAGGGGGAGGCTGGGGGTGAGTGCTCGGCCTTTTGAATGTTGATCCTTTTTAACATCCGTTCACACTAATTTTTTTTCCCAAATCAGTAAAATATAGCTACTTATTGTTCACATAGAGAATATTGAGGAAAAGATATTTCATTAAACTGACATACTTGCTAACGTCCAAATGATTAATAGTATAGAATAAATATCCTATGTTTATGTTTCCAGACTTGACCTCTGAGGATGACCCCGCTCTCAGCCCTCTAGAATCTGCCTTAAAAGTTTTGCAAACTATGAAACGGGACTGCCCGCAGGAGGATTATAACAAGGTTTGCAACTTGCTGAAGGAGATGGTATGTATTGTTTTTTTTTTCCTTATATCATTTTTACAGTTAATCTTACTTGTGACACAGAATATGTGAGATGTGCATATTACTCTGGGACCTATAACTTGTTTTGCCTTCCATTTAGGGTTTGGACAACTAAACACTATCAGTGGACATTGAAGCTAGTTCAGTCTCACCACACCATCATACAAATTTAATTTTGTACATGTAGGGAAACAAGAAGTTTACAGATGGCTAAGGTTAAAATACCTTAAAGCCGCAAGGCCTTTCATTTTAAACTATAAAAGATTCATTCAGATTAATGGAACCAGATGTTTACCCTTAGAAACTTTAAATTGACAAATTTGAAAGTTGGCAAAAACATCAAATTTGGCCTTGCCAAACCTAGGGGTAACCCTTGTTCATTCTTAAAAAGAGTTAGTTTTTGCATCCTGCATTTTTTGTTTTGTGCTTTAAGAGCAGCATTTCTGTGTTTATCTAGATTGTAACAATGTTCATCAAGAATGCTGAATTTGAAAAAGCAAAAAAAGCTCTCAACAAAAACTTCCCCAAGTCTATGATCGGCAAGGTAATGTATGACATATTAACTATTCTTTATGGTTGAAGGCACAAAGACATTTGATGCAAATGTATGTTTTTGTTTGTTAAACACTTTTTTAATGCTTTTTCTACTTTTAGAAAGCTGTTTTTATGGGTCTGATAAACCAGAAAAGCAGAGTCCATGAGATTCTGGACAAAATGGACTTTGACCAGTTCAGAGAAGAGATGCTTAACTTCTGTCTGAAGATTTGTCCGATCACAACTCCATTTCTTTTGAAGGTATGCGAATAAACTATATTCATCTTGGTGGTATTTTTAAATACATCTGTATAATCTTCATCCGTTTTGTTTTTCTTCTGTGGTGTATAAACTTCAGGCAGCTTTCAGTCTTATTGAATCAAGAAAAACTAAGGCAGACGACGGCAATATTGTGCAGCAGCAGCAGCAGCAGCAGGAGGAGGAGCAGCAGGAGGAGCCAGAGCAGCAACAGACAGAGCAGCAGGGCTTTAAACCTGCTTTATGGTACATGTTTTAAAATCTGCTCACTTGGCAATGTAGTAGTGGAGCTTTAAAGAAGCAGTTTGTATCAATTCTTGTCTTCTGTTCAAATTCATAATTTTAAGTTGTTTGGTTGAAATGTATTTTTTTTTCTCTTTCCCCAACTGAAGTAATCGTATGTTGATTAAAAAGTCCAGTCTTGAAGCAGCATTCAAAATGTTAGCACGTGGAACGACTTTTGCCATGTTGGAAAAAGAGATGGAAGACGAAACATCTGCGATAGTAGACAAAGAGTGCTCCACGCCCCTCTCGCCTTGCCTTGAAGATGAGCTAATTCAAGATCAACTGTATCTCAGAAACTCTGGGAGCCCAAGGGAGGCTTCTCCAGCAGACAAACCAATGCAAATGAGTGACATACCACAAGCAGAGAAAAGTTCACTCTCAGAAATGAAAACACCAACCAGCAGACGGCCCTACACTATTGCTCGTCTGGTTGTTGAGCCAGATAGCCAAGAATCAGAAGCACAAGAACTGTCACCAGGATCTTCTCAACTCACTGATATCACACAGTGTCCTCTAGTCGAGTGTGAAGTAAGCCAACCTGTACGGAAACCCAAAAGTTGTGACAGGTAATTATTACAGTATTATCACATCAGTATGACTCCTGTCTTTTTAAACTAAGCTGGCTTGGGGCTCTTTACATTTCACACAGAATAAGTAAGTTGTTCAATACAAGTCCTGGCTATCTATTCTAAAATTTGCTTCTGACCTTGGTTCTTAGGGAATATTTAAAGCTGGCATTTTAAACTTTGAATCCACAGCAGAATCCATGTCACTAGTTCAAAACAGTTTCTAGATTTGCTTTCTCAGACAGAAAAGTTAAAGAGAATCCCCTCAGCCAATCAGCTCTCGGTATGTAAAAGGTAAAATGTTTTCTAATGAGAAATTCACATATTATTACAAGACTTTCTGTTAGGACAAACGAAGCAACAAGTTAGGTACTCCAGTTTTAGGATGGCACTTATGTGTGGTAAAGTGGTAGAAGTCAAATATAGGATCTTATTTGTATTCTTTGTTTCAGGACCAAAGTAATACTGAGAAGCGAATCATTTGATACAGACGATGTAGATGATGAAATCCAAGTGTCTGTTCATAACACTAGCCGGTAAATCAAACAAGAATATTACATTTGATTTATTATGTATATGATGCAGAACAGCCAGTCATTCCAATAGATTCATACTTTTTCTTGCCACAATGGTGTATGTGTGTGTGTGTTATTTTACAGACAGACAGATGAAGATGTGGTGGTCTTGCATGGTTTAGATCGATCCCCCAGCCCAGTTTTCAAGGATAGCCCACAAACAAGTTCTACTCCTCATAAAGTCAAATCTTCCTCAGATACCGGATGGTGAGTAAACATGGTACTGTTGAGTAGTGCAGCCCTGGAGGCCATTTGTAATATTTATTTTTCAACAAATGTTTCAAAAGGAAACGAGCATTCACCAGTGCAAAGGAGGCCAAGGAGGAATGGAGCGATGAAGATCTGCTCTTTGATGAAGGTACTTTTTTTCCCCCCGAAATTCAACATTAATAATAACTTTCATTATATTCCCTATCTCACAGTGTCAACAAATCGAAGCCACTCTTCTGGTCAGAAAAAAAGGGTAATTGTAAAAATTAGTAACTAACAAGTGAAATCATTATACTTTTTATGCCATTATAAATCAATGCGTTTTGTTGCAGAAATGGACAGACAGTGAGACCCAGCGACTGAAAGAAGGGGTTCATAAATTTGGAGAGGGAAACTGGAGCAAGATAAAGGCTTATTACAATTTGAAAGATCGAACCAATGTCAATTTGAAAGATCGGTGGAGAACAATGAAGAAAATGAAAATTGCATAGAAGCCCCCCCTCCTTCAAAATGACTTTCTTGGCGAGATTAAGTGTGGATTACCAGGAGAACTAAAGTTTCCCTTTTCCACTAACACTTTTTGTATTAAAAAATGATTGGTCAAATCAGTCTATGTATTTGCTTAACTTGCTACTCTCTGAACAATGTTAAATGCACAAATAACATTCGTGATTAATTTATTGTGACTCCTGGAATAGATTGTCTATTAATGGAAAAAGGGCCCATACTTTCAATAATTGATTTCAATACTGTTCCATTTTCTTCCACTTTATCCAGGCCACTAAGGCAGTGGCCCAGGCCAGCTGGGACATGGTCCTGGCTATTTAATTCTGAGGGACATGCTGACTCAACATGGAGGTGCAGCAGCTCTACTCAGAGGTGCTGGCCCTACTTTGCAAGAAAATGTCAATGTCTGATCAGATCTAGAAACAGAATTTAACCTGTGAGTCAAATGTCAGGGAGATATAATTTTCACTGGGATTTATGTAATCAGTTAAATGTCTGTATTCATTGTTTTTAAACATTTGGATTTCTGTGTTCAAGTCCGGTTTCCAATGAGAAGCACTAGCTAGCCTTCAAAGCAGGATTTTAGAATACTCATGAAATATTCATTCAAATAGGTGAGCCTAATTGTGTTCTTTAAAGAGAATCACGGTGTCTGCCAAAATGTATGTTGTGCCACATCTGACCTGCCTCTTATGTAGAGGTTATTTTGTATGACTTGCTCTCTGCCAATGTTTGGAGACCACTGGATAAAATGTGAAAAAAGTTGGGTAGCTCAAGTAATGCAAATTTACATTCTACTTCTGGCAGTCAAATGTTGAACTGTAGAGAAGGTTTTAAATCCTTATGTCAAAGCGTCCTCGTTTCTAATGAACTCTCCTATGTCAGCTTGGTGAAACACGACAATGGCCATTGGATCCACTCTTCTGCATTCTTGTGTGGATTTCGCTGCAACTCCAAAGCCCTGTGATCACAGAACTGTTATTACCAGAAACATCACATCTAGTGGACACTAGCTCCAAGGAGAGTACTTACAAGAGGCACATCAGCCATGGAATACACTACAACTCCTTGATATTGCTCTGTGTTCTCTGTGATTCTTCCAAGTCCAGATTTTAACACATGGTTTCCGTAAAGGAAAGACTGTTCGGATCCAGGCTTAACCCACACTTTGTACTGAAACAACACAGTGTACAAAAGTTATGGAAGCCGCATGTCTTGCCATTATTTTAGACATTATTAAAACCCACTTTTGCATATGGTGCGAGGAAGTCCAGCGCTGTGATGTGAAGGCGAAACTTGAGGGTCTTGGTGAATTTGCCAAAACATGTTCCCACCGACACGAGCTTGTCTCTTGCAATGTTGGTGGCCAATTTCAGAATTTTTTCACTGTTCACCAAAAGAAACGCAACAACATAATATATCTTTTCCAGTTAGCATTTGATCGTCATTAGCGACTACAAATACCTCATATAATAGACACGATCATTGTGTAATCTGAAGCAGTATGTACCATCAGGTCTATCAACAAGAAGTTTTATGTTCTCGCCAATGCTGTAAAAGCAGACACACAAACGTTAAATAACCTTAACGTTACTTGTATGCCTAACAATAAAAAAATACTCACTATTTGGATAATTTCTGAAACATTGTTGTGGTCTCTTCATCAGTGAGAGGACGCATGATGCTTGTTTTTGAAGGTTTTGGAGAAGAACGATGAAAACGTGGGTCAGTGTGGTACCCTCTACACCGGAAGTGGATGTTGAAGGGGGAGGAGCTTAGAGGAGGACACTTCCTGGTTTTTTTAGTCTCAGTTTGACATACGCCTTTTGCTCCGAGAAGCTGCCTGCTCCGAGGTAAATCAAAACAGTCTCTTGCTTTTAAAACGCCAGTGTTTCTTACTATCTACACATTTATTTCGCGGTGGTTGGTATTATTTTGAGTAAGTGTTGGTAGATGCTTGGAATGAAGTTATTTTAGCACGATTAGCTCTGACGCTGAGAAGAGAGCATTACCCGTTAGCAAAGGGGCTAGGTTAGTGCTGTTTGCTTTAAAAGCTGCCTTGCTTCGGGGCAATGGCCTATTTTTCCACAAATAACCATTATAGTTACTGACCCTGAGACGCTATGTCAGAAGGCTGTGCCGACTATTTCTTCTCTGAAATGTTCTTGCCGCAGTAACAGTGCCGCTCAGTTACATAACCTCATAATTGTTTGTAAATACTCATTTACATTTCGTAGTCCGGTATTTTAGCAAGAGTTAGGTTAGCTGATCCATTTAGGATTACACCACCCTTTTTGGTAAACATTGCCCAATGCACATCTATGTGCTTGTTAGATTAGAATAGAGAATTGTGTTTGTGTCTGTTCTATTCATAGACTGTAAATATTACGGTATCCAAGGTCAACATTTGGTAATATATTTGTGGTAATAAAATGTGTTGTTCAGTTTTGAGCCATCAGGATCTGCCTGTCTCATCCATCTGACAGTTCTGTTTATTAGAATCAGCAATGTTTACAAGTAGCACTGAGGTCTGTCTATACTGAAATCGTCACCTGCATTAATTATTTTTATTGTGTGTTATTTATTGTATCTACAGGCCCTTCCTCTGAGCCCTTGATGAGTGTCTGTTAGGAGCTTATTCTACAAACGCAGCAGTGTATGTCTGTCATCAGTTTCCGCTTGTGGCTTCGATAACGCTGAACAGGAACACTGAGAGAGAGACGTCTGAGCTGAGAGGAAACTGCAGTGGCTTCTTCTTTAACCTCAGAATGACTGAGTTCTGGGTTTGTTTTAGCTGCTGCATAGCAGAACAACCTCAGCCGGTGAGTACTTTATAAAATTGTATTTTTGTTGTTTTTCTAGGGCATGTCACATGAGTAAAAACAATGTAAATTAAATTTCTCGTAAATATTATATAATACTTATTTGGTGATGTTTCAACAGTAGCTCAGTTGGTAGAGCATTGGCCTTTGAGCCAGAGGGTCGTGGGTTTGAGCCCGACCTTCACCATCGACTCCTGCTGTCGTTGTGTCCTTGGCAAGACACTTAACCTCTGGGAACAGCAGCCACAGTGGGGCGGCTGCGGCTGTAAAGTGCCAAATTGCTGTTGTGTCCTTAGGCAAGACACTTCACCCCCTTTGCCTAGAATGAGTCTGGTGTGTGAATGGTTGGTGGTGGTCGGAGGGGCCGATGGCACATACTGGTTGCCTCGCTTCTGTCAGTGTGCCCCAGGGCAGCTGTGGCTACAGAAGTAGTTTATCACCACCGTGTATGGAGTGAATGAATAATGACATGTAAAGCGTCTTTGAGTGTCCAAAAAAGCGCTTTATAAAACCGATGCAGCATTATTATTATTCTTTTCTTTTTTTTTCAAAATTGTAAGTTGGACATTACCCTATGTCTATTGGAAGGCTGTTCCATACTGACGTCTTCTGGTGGACAATACAGTTTGCCCAAGCGTTGTTTATCCACTTTTTTGTGCAAAAATTCAAATAACTCATCAACATTAAAGTGCAATAAACTACAGCGCAAAAAAAATGATTTAACAGCTTTTTGGATTGGCCTGGTTCTTTAGGGGGGAGCACGTTCACATAACACAACAAGCTGGTTGAACAACACTCCCCCAGAGGTGTGGATGATGTGAGGCAGCAGTGATGTGTAATCCGATCGTAGGATTTCACCATGTTGGCGCGCTAAAGATGGTGTGGACGTGAAAAACGTGCCTTCTACTTGATCCTTCGAATGTCAATAGGCAGATGAATTTAGCACAATCTAATACACTACTCTGAGTTTTTGGTTGTTTTCAGAAACGACGGCGACGAATTGATCGTTCCATGATTGGGGAGCCAACTAACTTTGTCCACACCACACACGTGGGCTCAGGCGACATGGGCCTTGGACTGGCATCAGTATGTCTTCTAGTTTGTTTACAGTTTATTTGGTTTCTATAAATGTAAACACTTTTTTTTTTTTTTTTAAAGGTGGACATTGTTCAAGCCCAAATGAAATCAAAAGGGGGCTATGCACACGGAGGATCTGAAGGATCCCAGTTATAGCAAGGTAAAGCATTATTTATATTATATTATGTTATATTACATTATACATACCCATACACACTAGGGATGTAAAAAACTATGAATTTTCATGACCGACCACCGAGCCTGATTAACCGGTTGAAACCGGTTAACCGCGTAGTTTAAAATAGTCCACGTTCTTTGAAATTACAGCCATTTTGAGCCGCGTACTTTCCATAAGTGCAGCTCTGCGTTCTACTGGATCAGAGCCGAGACAGCGGCGCCAAAACCCGCAACAGCTTCGGCACCTTTGCGCACAGAGAATTGCTGTTTTAATCTTCCCATTCTGCTGTGCTGCGGGTTAAAGCATTTTTAAGCAAAAGACGGCTCGTTCACATGGTCGGAGCAGCGAGTGACGCGCCGCGTCTCACAGGTCTCCGCTAAATTTAAAATACAAGTGATGTGTGTGGAGCTGATGCCAAGGACCAGCAGCACAAACATGTTTCATGTGTTTTGACTGTATTTGCGAGGATCCTTTGGGCTGTGTGACACAGAGGAGCGCGACAGACCGGTATGTGTGTGTGTGCAATACATGTATGTATGTGTGTGTAAATATAAGCTCCAATGTAGTTCTGACCTGCACCAGTGTGCAACTAGCAGGCGGTAACAGAGGGGAGAGATGAATGTGTGGATGTTGTGTATCAATGGAGGGGGGGAAAGTGTGTGTGTGTGTGTGTGTCTGTGCGCGCGTGTGCATGTGTGCGTGCATATGTGGTGCGTTAGAGTCGGCCCGGAGTTTACTGTTACATTGGCGCACACAGCTAGATACGGACCCGCTCGTCACATCGTGCAAATAGGGCTTAAAATAGCGTTATGAAGAGACCTCCCCTCTCCCCTTTTTCTCTTTTTTTTAACCGACAGCTTTGACCGGTTAAGTGACGGTCAACCACCGGTTAAACGGTCACCGATTTACATCCCTAATACACACATACACTAATAAAACACCTGGCACAATATTCAGAATGATGTCTTTCAAATGATAAATAATTGAAATGTCAGGGAGTAGTCAGTTTCATTGTCTAGTAAAATCCAAGAAGCCTTTGCCCAGATAAAAATATTTGTTGTTTGACTGTCCAATAGAGCGAAGAGATATTATTTTTTGTGGTTTGGTTGGAACATGCCCCATAATCATAGCCTGACTCTCGCCAAACCCTTGTAGTTCCACCATGCTCCACCGGAGGCGTTTTTCTGTAAATCTGTGAATAAGAAAAGGGGGAGGTTGGAGGTCTCTTAATTACGCTATTTTAAGCCCTATTTGCACGGTGTCTGGATACCGCTAGATACAGCGAGTCTGTATCTAGCTGTGTGCACCAATGTATTCTCAGGGCCGACTTTCGTGCCGCACGCACCACATATGCACACACATGCGCGCACACACGCGCGCACACACACACATTTCCCCCCCTCCATTCATACGTCACATCCACACGCATCAACTCTCCCCTCTGTTGCTAGTCTGCCAAAGTTGCACACTGGTGCGGGTCAGAACTGCATTGTAGCATACATTTACACACACATACGTACACGCGCATACCGGCCCATTGCGCTCTTCTGTGTCACACAGCCCAAAGGATCCTCGCAAATGCGCGGCTTCAGTCAAACCACATGGGAAAACCTGTTTGCTCCACACACATCACTTGTATTTAAACTTTAGCAGAGACCTGCGAGACGCGCCTCATCACTCGCTGCCCTGACCATATGAACAAGCCGTTGTTAGCTGCTAATTTTTTTTAACCTGCAGCACAGAAGAATGGAAAGATTAAAACAGCAGTTCTCTGTGCGCAAAGGTGCCGAAGCTCTTGCTGGTTTTGGCGCCGCTGTCTCGGCTCTGATCTTGTAGAACACATAGCTGCACTTATGGAAAGTAAGCGGCTCGAAATGGCTGTTATTTCAAAGAACGTGGAATATTTTAAACTACGCGGTTAACCGGTTTCAACCAGTTAATGAGGCTCGGTGGTCAGTCTTGAAAATTAATAGTTTTATATATCCCTACAAGGGAAACTACAAGGGTCTGGCGAGAGGCAGGCTACCTTAATCACAGCCCAAGGAATCAGTTTCAGACTCTCTTTCTGGCCAGAATTGTGAGGATGACATAGTCGAGCTAGAAAAATAATTAAAATTGTTAGCTAGAGCTAGATTAAGATTGTTAGTTTAAACATATACTTACTGTATATTCTGTATACTTAGTATATTATACTGTATGTTCTTTTTTCTTCATAGAGACTTGAGTGATTGCCATGTAATGTCACTTATTAAATGCTTGGTTATATTATGTAGTTTGGTGAAATATTTATTTGTAAAATTCACTAGTTCACACCGCATTCACTAGGCGTTTGAAAGGCGTGTCATCAGTTACACACACCACCTGTTCAATGGAGAAGTGTGTGGAGCGCAGTTCCGGCGCACAAGTGGTGCACTGTCTTTGTTCACACGCATTTCATTGCGCAGACATGAAAAGTGAACGCTTATGAGGAAAAACATATGCACTGAGTGGTGTTAGTACAACACGATCGCTGTCATGAGCTCCCCTGGTCTAAATGTTTACAAGCGCTTTGCAACACGTGTTAGAGGCCCTTAGCCAGCTTGTGATACTCAGGGCCACATTAAGGAATACATAAAAGTTTGTTGTATGAATATTGATTAGGAATAAATAATAATAATCAGTGATTGGGAAGTTACTTTAAAAAAGTAACTTTTCTACTTTTAAAATTCAACCTGTTAGTTTCTAAAGGAAGTAACTTCTTTACTTTTACGTTATTTTTGTGTTACTATTATCATATAATCTCACTCTGCACTAATGTTTGTCTTTACAGAAATTCTCTGGTGGATACTACTGTTGGTGAACAAAAGCAGTTCTGTCTGTGATGGACACAGGACCAAAAGATTCTACTGCTTTTTACTCAAATGTGTATATATATTTTTATTTCCCATTCCTTTTAAAGAAAGCACTGCTACCCATACGCTGCCATACTGTTGCACTGTATAGAATAGCTGTGTAAAATAGATAAGAGGCCATGGAGCATAAACTGCGTGTGTGTGTGTGTGTGTGTGTGTGTGTGTGTGTGTGCGTGTGTGTGCGCGTGTGTGTGCGTGTGTGTGTGTGAGCAAACAAAAAATCATACATCCAATGCCTGTATTTATTTTCTGATTGTGAACGGACCTCATGGTGGCTGGGCCACATAGGAGAGTTGAAACCTTCAGTTTCATGCTTTATTCTCAGAGGTTTAATAAGAAACAGGCGAAAAGATAAAAGCAGCAAAGCTTAATTCTGAGGAATGCCAATGCTCTAAGTTGCTTTCAGGGTTAATTATTGCTGTTTACAAACTTGAATTGAGTAGAATACACTGGACCATACTTGTACATGCACACATTTTATCTCAGTCAAGCTTTTAACATTTTGGCCTCATTTTGGCTAAACAGAGACTTAGAATGAACTAACATTTTCTGTCTGCTTTCTGTCGTTTTCTAGATTTTGTCTTGTCACATTAGTTCTCCTGTTTAACATCTGTAAAGTGAAGCATATGATCATGCTGAATTTAGATGTGTGCTTTGGCGCCATAGGATGCACGCACATTGCTCGCTCATTGCAGTCTTATCCTGACTGGTTCATGTTTGTAACAGTGTTTTGGGGTTTAATCGTTTCAGTGTTATAGATGCTTTGTATGGATTTTCAACTTCTCATAACTTGGCCTTGACACGGTCTGTGTTTCTGTTTAAAATTGCCACCTTTATGTTTGTGCCAAAGTACAAAGACGTTCCAACAGCAATTGTTTTTTGTTATGTACATGAAAACGGCACAATTTTAGAACTAGAATTTTTACTTATTTGTTCAGAATGAGTTTTCTAAATGCAGATAATGGGCCAGCAGGCTTTGGCCTGTAAAATCTTGAGTAGGCAGTGTATTTTGTATGTCAGAGTCTATTGTAATTGATATTACTCCTATTCATTCATAGTACTTGCTCCATGTATTATATTTGCTGTTTTATTTCATACAGTTGTTAATTGCATTTTAAGCTGCAAAGTCTGCCCACCGAAGCCCTGTATTATTGTCAAAACTGCTCTAGAATGCCCCCCAATTAAAATAATGTCTGTGTATACCCTTAGTGTAAAACTATCTAAACTTATATGTGAGAAATCCTATTTTTATTCATGGCAGCAAACTCTAAATCTACGTCTACGATTTTTTGTATTATTATGGTGCTTAAAGCCAAGCCACGAAAATGTTAATTTGTGTGTGCATTTACTGTGCTGTAACATTTACAGGAATGAATGTAATTGTTATTGGTTGTTCTATTAATGTAAACCAAGCACACATTTTGCAATTGTAAAACCGCCCTCTGAAGAAAAGCATTCATAAACCAGCAGGTTGTGCAAATGAACCATTTGAATGTTATAGGTTATTTTTTGTTCTGCCGAGGACCTGTTTGCAATTAAAAAAAAAAAACAGAAGTAATCTGTTTTGATTTGTGATATTTTTTTATTTATTATTATTGTTCATTTTATGTATTGAGTCGACCCAGTATTGTGATAAACTGAATGTTAGTTAAAACATAAGGATTAAGGAAGTATTATTGCAACAGGACCCGTTAGTGGTCAGTTGAAATGATAACATTATTTCACACTTTTCATGATGTATCTCTCGCGTCCACATAAACATATTTCAAAAATAAAGTTTGCTTACATGATTAAACTTCAGAATAATGGATGCCTCACTGGTCACCAGTGAACCTTAGGATGCAGTGACAGGCTTGGCTTGGGAGATTATAATTTCCTATGCACTCCGTACACACAGGCAGATGACTGACAAAGCACTTTTCCCCCAGATGCCCCTCTCTGGTTTCTCTCATTCCGAGCTCATCAGCAGCTGAATCCAGCAGAGCATTTCACTGCATCACTCTGTCACAGTGTGATTATTGAAAGACCAGTCACTGAGTTCTTTGATATAGTTTGGGAAAATGTCATTGTAGCTTTCCATCGGTGGTGGGAAGTCCTCCGCAGACCCTGACAATGACAAAGATGGATTGAATAAAATAGGTAAAAAACAGGTCCATGAGTTTTCTCAAAGGTTCTCCATAAATGTGTTGCTTTATGTAAATTACAAACAATAGTGTGATTGTTACTTACAATGCCAGTGGTTCTCAAGTGAACGTACACTGGATGTTTTGGGTTCCCATGTCTGACTCCAACTGTCGCTGTTGTTTAGATTGTCCATTAACTTCAAGTGAAAATAAAAAAGAATGGAGGAAATTCCTTTTGCAGAGAGACAGTACAACATCTTAAACAGTACCTTAATAACAGCTTCCTTCTGTTCCTGCTCATCGTTGATCTCTGTAGACACAACTGTGCAAAAACGTGCAGTTTAGTGCTGGAGAGCTTTGTGTTATTGATTTAACCCTGATCCATGTGATACAATTATGTTGAAATCCCCAAGATGCACAACAGTGGTTTTTAACTGGTGGGTTCGGACTAACAATGGGCCGCCAACCTTTCCTGTATTGTATCTACTATACTGCAAAAAAGTCAAAAAGACTTTCTTGAAGAAAGTGGCCCCTGATTTAAGAAATTAATACATTAAGAAAGCTATTGGTAATGCAAGTTTTTGTAGAAAATAACATCTGAATCCTCTCAAAATCAAATACACATTTTGAATAGACCCCATTCGTTTTTTAAGTAACTGTATGGTGGTGGGTTCAACTTCTGTGGTGACAGTGGCTCAGTTGGTAAAGCATTGGCCTTTGAGCCTGAAGATTTTGGGTTCGAGCTCACCATAAGACCTATTACACGACTCCCACTGATGACTGCTGCTGTTGTGTCCTTGGGCATGACACTTAATGCTACTTTGCCTGAAGCCCCCACTGAAAGATCAAGGCTCCGGTGGACTCACCACCTGCAGGAAGATCAGTGAGGGGCTGGTGCTAAGTTTACTGGGTGCAGCTCTGAATGCCATCCCCCAAGACGGTGGTTCCGACTGGAATAGATGGTTCAAATTCCAGTCAGAACTGGGCCTTTGATTGGAGTTTGCATGTTCTCACTGTGTCTACTTAGGTACAATAGGTAAAATTCTCCAGCTCCGAGCCAAGCATCAACATCTGAAGACCCTCCTGACAGGTTTCCCCAGTGGCAAAATGGGTCAAATGCAGAGGACAAATCACCCTACAGCAATAAATTATACCTTAACCTGTAAGACAAATTGACTTATTGATGCCTATTTTTAACTTTATCATTGAGAACTACTGATTCATAAATTCCTTCGTTAATATTCTCTGACCTCCAAGTGGTCTGACATCTTGCATCAACCAATAACTGTGAATTCATTAATATTTCTAATTCCATTTCAATATACATACAGTAACTTGTCATAAAATCTCTTGCATATGTATGTATGCCGTCATTACTCTCTTTAGTGTTCACTGACCATGTGACGCAGAACTGCTGAAGATGTCTTTTTGCGTTGGATCTGGAGTAGATTTGATATTAGCCGGTTGCCAGGCCTGTGACGCACATCTGTCATTGTTTTTTCTGAGACCTAAATTAAGAGTCATTAGTCACTTTTGATGTTTCTGTATTGGTAATCTTATTTCTTACCTTTCTTCCACTTGAGTTTTTTCTTACTGGGCATCATCTGATAGACTCTGTATGCATTGGTTCCTTTTTTCTTACTGTGCTCTCTCAGCTCCAAGATATCAGACAAGGAATTTAATGCACATCGAAAATTTGCCTTCCATGTTTTTGGGTCTGGTTTGTTCCCGGGTTCATACCGACCTGAGGATAGTAAATATTAGTTTTGTCAGAGGTCCCCAACATATTTGCCCTGGGCTCCCTGGCCAGCATAGTCAGGACACCAGAACTAATTTTTTGCATCAGATTTGTTGTTACGTTTGTGTTAGATAGTTTGACCACTGTTTGCTCTAATTTAACTTAACTTATATATCATTCTGAACAAAATGACTATATACTTGGATTGAATCAAAGCAGGACCAAATAAGGAATGCTTGTACATGATATATCACATGTTATATTAACCTCTTATCAATGCTCATGAGATTTGACAATAATTAAGTACTCCTTGCATTACTGTACACTCACGTACCCCCTGGTATAATCAATCTTGTATGAGAGGTTTTGAAATTGGACTCCAACTTGTCCAATAGCCACTAACATTTCCCATATCCTCTCTAACAGAGCATCCAAAATGATGTTTATCTGTATGAAACACGATATAGGCCTCTTCAATGTACCCAGAAACGCAGATTAATCAGTTCAGTTGCTTTTTTTCCCATGAGGGGAGAAAGTGCCCTGGCTTTTACTATAAAGCAAATCTCTGGGCACTCTTACCAACACAGCTCTAGTAAGAATGCTGCAGATCAAGATAAACATGGCATCATTTCAACAAACTCAAAACTATGCAGACAAGTAACTGCCGTATGAGTTGTCGTTGAAAGAGCAACAATCTCGATCAGAAAGGAAATATTCCAATTTTGTGGTCATTTACATATTTCTTGACAGATAAAAGTGAGCCATTACTGTGCCATGCTGTAAGAGTTTTGTTTTAAGCCTTTGAAACTCTTTGAAAGTATGATCCCAATAGATTCTCAGTGCTGCAGGTTCATACCAGTGTGTATTGCCCAGCTCCTGAAGAGAGTGGCATCCCGGTCTATACTCCAGCCTTGTCGAGCTGCATGCTTCCAAGGAATCTGAAATATCTGTGCTGCCTAAAAACAACAAACATCTTATTGTCCGGTGTTGATAATAGTTTGATTCAACGGCAAGAAGCAGAGCTCATTTACCTGGTCAAGCCATCTGACCCCTGGGTACTTCCCTGAGTGGATCTGCTCTTCCAGCCACGCTCTCAACCTCAGACGGCCGTGATGCTGCATGTTTCTCTCCAACTTTCTGTATCAAAGTCTTAAATAACGCACATGGTTTAGTTCCTCTCCAGCACTCATCCAATCACATTAATCTTCCATTCCGATCAGCTCATGACACTCCAACAGACCTTGGCTGTGATTGACTGTTTTAGAGGCTTCTCGTCTTACAGGAAATGCTCCATCAAATGGTGTAATAATGTGTCATGTTGTTTCTCCTCTCACTCACGTATGTTTTCTTTTGCTTTCTCTTTCCCACTTTTCCGCAATTATTTTTTTTAAATTGTTTGGTTTGCTCTTGCTATATTGTCACAACATGCCCTTTTCTCTACTATTTCCACTGTACCCTGGTGCACTTGTCTTTCTCTATTGACTTCATTGTGTAAGGGTGTGCGCATGTGTGTGTATCTTTTTATTGCATTTGAACATTAAGATTATTATTCATTCATAATTTATGCATTCATTACTCTGGAGAGTCGTTTTACTATTATATATTGTATGTATATTTTTTTATGTTTTACTAATATATACAGTCTATGGTTTTACTATAATTCAGAAGCATTTTCCTACTTGATTATCTCTAAAAAAGCTTAGAAGTTTCTGAAAATAAAAATTTAGATTTTTTTTCCACCTATCTCTCCCTGTGCAAAACTCACACAAGGTTGTGGAATGCATTTGGATGTATTTAGTTTTATTTATTTCTTTACTAGTGAGTTTGGTCCAATCCATATATTTATTCATATACAGCCGACTTGCAAACAACAGAAAAAGGAAAAAAACACACACACAAGTTAGACACGCCTGATTTGATTTATGACCTGAAATGTTTCTCAGTATGACATAAACTTAAAAATTGCCAGTCACGTGAGAGGAGCTTGGGGTAGAGCTGCTGCTTCTCCACTACAGAGAGAAGCCAGTTGAGCTCCTGGGACTCTCTCAAAGCTGGCCTGGGAATGTGTGAGTGTGTGTGTGTAGGGAATTCTGGGTATCTCTACTCAAGACTTCAGGTTTTTTGAGCTGTAAAAACATCTGAAATTTTAATAACGTGCAAGTTTTGATGCAGTCCAAGCAAAGCAATAACATCTCCATGGCAATAAGTGACTAGAGGATCAGAAAAGTTGTGCATTGAAATTTGAACTTTGTTTCACTGGTTCTAAAATAACACAACCAGTAAAATGGACACAAATATTAACAATACATAGGCTAAATAGATGTATAATATGTCTCCTTAAATGTAAAAAAGTTAATTTAGTCTTCCTATGTCTAAGGCTTTGAAAGTTCATGTCAGGTAATTAAGCAGTTCTAGCATTCTTAACTTTCTTGTCTTATCAAAAGAACTTTCAAAGCCATTGGTCTCCTTGATGAAGTACAAAAATTGCAGGCAATATTCTTTAAGCAGAAATCTATACAATATACCTAGACATACAAATGCAACACATCAAAAATATATTCAGTCAACATATTTTACAAAGTGCAGAGCAACATCAAAACACAAAGTTATACAGTAAGTAACAGTCTATGGCAAGTTGTGATTCTCTTCCATTCATTTGTTGACTGCATGCAACCTGGAAGTTGATGAATGAATGAAACAGTGCTAAATTTTGTGAAATAATGGAGGAGAAAATGCATTAAACACTATGATAACCATCCTCTACAAAAATCTCATTAGACTTTCGTGGCATTAAGACTTGAAAACGTTCCATATCCAGGGGTATATTTGATAATCCTGGTAACAACGATTGACATTCACTACTGTTTTCTGACGGCACATTGTCAGACTGTTTTAGTTTCTCAATCTCCTGGTAGCTATAGACCACTGACACATTACAATCAGATGGCTGCTCACATGGATGATATGACATGTCCGTTTGAATTGAGGGGAGATGAATATTGGAGTCTTGAGGCCGTGGTCTGTCGCTGGATTGGTACCCGGAGTCCCAATTCTCCTGCCACCCAACGATTGCGTTTGGAGATTGAAGTGCCTCATAACTGCCATTGTCAAAAGCCAGAGAGGGGGTGAAGGCCGGAGCGATGTCAGTGTGTTGTTTGGGTTCTTCTGATTGCACCGAGTTCGTAGTTGGAGTGAACATTAGGAGGCTTTCTTTTAGACGCTGCAGCACGCACGCTTCGCTGTCCACTGGTTCTGCTGGTTCTGTGTTGGCGTAGTCAACGGAACAGGCCGAGCTCAAGCCGCTGGTCTGTGTTGATCTTCCACTGCTGTCGGCCAGAGACTCCTTAGACCTGTGTGATCATCCCAGTGTTTACAAAGCAAATATAGACTGTTGAATACCGTGCAATAGTCTAAGAATACACAGTTCCATACACACAGGCGAGGCGTTCTCTTGAATACCAAAAACATGTATTTCTTCTAACATATTATTGGATACAAATAAACCGAACCTTAATTATTCAACTGTTCCTAAACCTGACCCCAGATCAGATTCTGAAATAATATGTCAAATTGTAAATAATCTGTATTAGGAAATCAAAGGAAAGTTATAGGAAACTTGAATATTTAATTTGTGCCCAGGGGAAAGTAGTGCCACCCCTGTTGTCTAGAAAATGAATGAGTCTTGATCATTTTGTAGCCATACATTTGACTCAGATATGTGGCTTGAGAGGAAGCACATTAAGTACAAATCACCAAAGTAAACATTTCCATGATCAAGGTTTGAACTATTATAGACAACATTAAAAACAGTTCACACGTGCTGTAGTGCGTTAACAAGCCACACCATGAGCTGATACAGTGAGCTTGTTCAAAATAAGGGATGTTTCGGGTCATTTGTGCCATAGGGTTAATTTGTGCCATATAATCTATGATTTTCTTTTCTTTACGGAAGCTTGTTAGGTTCACTTGTGAGTGTGTTTTTGTTTCACTGGTATCATGTTGTTTCATGATAATTTCATGTAATTTCAAAATAATTTCATGTTTGTACAAGATACGAATCATGTTATTTCATGATATAAAACTATCATGTTATTTCATGAAACCAATTTATCATGAAATAACAAGATACTGTAGATACAGAAGAAGAAGCTGTAGACGCCAGACCATACGCCAGGAATGCGGAATGGCTCAGACAAAGGACCCGCTTTGCACCTTTCTGCGGCAGCGAAGGGTGTCAGAGGTATCGGATGCAGGAAGATCGAGTAAGTAATCAATATGAATTTATGAACTGCTATCACCATAATTACATATATCCGCAATGATTTATAATATTTCAGGATTGTAAACAATGAAATAAAAAGCATCATACAGTTCATGTCAAGTTGTAACAGAGCTAACGTGCACGGCTACAGCCCACTACTGTTCACGCAGTTTAGCGCTATATATTAACAATCAAATTATTCCCTATTATTATTATGACCCTATTTGGTCATTATTTCTATAACAATGGTTTAACTTAAGGCCAGAAAATACAGTTTAGCCTTTAACTTGACCATCATGGGAAATACAAAGCTAGGCTGACAAGCTAACACACCAGCCTCACCGTTTTAAATATGTAATTACGGTGATAGCAGTCCATAACTTCACATTGATTACTGACTCGATCTTCCTGCGTCCACAACAAAGATACCTCTTGTAAGTATGTTTTTTTCTGAACATGTTGGTTCACTGTTGGGTCAAGGAACTAAATACAGACACAGAGGTATTCACAAAAATATCGGATCGCCATGCTGACACAGAAGCATGGAGACAGACCGTGAAAGACAGACAACATACTTCCTCCAACTGGACAAGTCAATGCAAGTTGAACTGTGTATCCAAAAAAGGAAATTACGGAGAACATTTCTTAACTCCTCCCGGGCCGACCAAAGCTATATAAGCAGCATTTGTAAATATTTGAGAGAGTCTCGGATTGAACGGACTGCGTGTACCGCTTCAATTTGAACTCCCGTCCATCTTATATGTACATAAAGACCTTCCTCTACAAACCACAAAGTTGAGTATTTGTTTTGTTACATTTCTCTGATTCATGTCATTGCTTACGCCACATTATGTGGGTGTTCCAGATATCTAACAACTGTGCTTATGCAGGCCCTCCGGTCACCAGAGGTTGTGGGGCCGTGATCTTATAAAATCACCTCAACCCTGATTTTACCTCCGACACCCCTCGCTGTTGCAGAAAGGTGCAAAGCGGGTCCTTTGCCTGAGTCATTCCACACTCCTGGCATTTGGTCTGGCCATAGACTGTAAATATTAAAGGTCTGACGTCTACAGCTTCTTCTTCTGTATCTACGGTATCTTGTTATTTCAAGATAAATTGGTATCATGAAATAACATGATAGTTTTGTATCATGAAATAACATGATCCGTATCTTGTACGAACATGAAATTATCATGAAATTACATGAAATTATCATGAAATAACATGATACCAGCGGAAAAAAACCACACTCACAAGTGAATCTAACAAGCTTCCGTAGTTATATATTACTTATCTTATTGTTATTTCACATTGTGGTCCAACTAAAACTATGTGTCAATTTTAATTTTAGACCAAAATCCATAATGCCATTTATGAATTAGATGTAGACCTTATTAAATATTAGATTTTAATTATCTTTTTAACGTAACTTGTCTTTTCTATAATGGGAAATTGTGTCACAAAAGTCAGCTAGCTAGAAGCTATAACCTTTATTCAACAAGGAGATTCTGTTTTTTACTTACCACATCATGCTGTTGTTTGAAACAACCGGTTCTACGCTTAAAGAGTCTACGTTTAAGGACTCTGGTTCCAAAACCTGTATAGATAATAACAAATTATATCTATCTTTAAAAAAACATCTCATTAGGCCAATGTTTTATAAACCTACCTCTTTCTTATTTGGTTTGATATCCAGCAGTTTTGGCTCGTCAAATTTTACAACTTTGTCCCATAACTTTCCCTTTAAACTGTGTGAAAAAGTAACACATCATAGCAACTCAATTCTGTCAACAAAACAGGTTGCAAAAATATATACAAATAACTATAAAGATGGTGAATTGAAGTTTGTGACTTACCGAACGAAACATGAAAAAGACAAAGTACTGACAATAACTGCAACAACGCCCAGGCTTATGATCACCGCAAGAAAGACACTGTTTTGGGACAGATCTGTAGAGAGAGAAAGGCATTATGAAGTTAAGGAGTATACTTTATTACTGCTTACATATCGTTCCCAAACACCCACAATATTCAGGCATCATTATTAGAGGATTACGTTACTACGCTGTCATCAAGTCAGATTGATTTTATAAATGTAATTGTGGGACTGTTATTGCTTATTAAGGTCTCGTTCACACATGTTGGTTTGGTTCACTTGGGGTTTCAAAAGATGTAAACTGACTAAATAAGTCTGACTGACTAAATAAGTGACAAATTAATCTGAATCTGAAGTGGACACATGGCCACTTTTTCTATATAATAATAAAGTATTTTTTTCCCAGTGAACCAGAAGTTGACCAGCTAAAAGGGCCGTCTGTATGCAATATGTCTATAAAAAGTCATCACAATTAAAATAAGCTTCTTTGTACTGTCTACTGATGCAATCCACCTGCTGAAGTTAGCTAGAAACAAACTCTATGTTTCATTTCATTTCATTTTCAACCCCTTTGTCCATTTCTGGGTCGGGGGGTGGCAATGAGAGCTGCCACCCAACACTCATAGCACCAGTCCCTCGCTGATCTTCTGCAGGGGGTGAGTCCACAGGAAGATGGCTGCTCCGTCAATTGTGAAACAGCCTTGATCTTTCAGCGGGGGGCTTCAGGCATTGTGGGGTTAAGTGTCTTGCCCAAGGACCTCACGACCTCCAGGCCCAAAGGCCAATGCTCTACCAACTGAGCTACTGTCGCGCCTGTGTAATACAAACTCTATGTATTATGTATAACTACTTAAAAGGAGAGAGCCAAAACCAGCTAATTTTAACTGCTTCTCCTCTCTGATTAGATAATCTGCTTAAGAATCGTGAATACAAATATTGTGGATATGTCCATTACAGTAACATTTTAAACATTCGTTCAGAAAAGCTCAAATATGATTTGTGCATGTTGACCTATTTCTGGGGACACGTAGACGTTGCATAAGTAATAAAATGAGCACAGCACAGAGCTGATGGTTAAACATTATTTAGCAATATTTATAATTCAAACAAAAAAGTTCTCCATGAGTGATTTCAGCTAAATAGTCTCAAGGCTAAGCCAGGTCTAAAGTTACAAGCAACAAGTCTAAAGTCAAGTCAAGTCTTGTCAAAGATCCCATTAAAGATGCAGTCAGTGATTTTCCAGACACATATAAAGAATATATATATTGTCGGAGAAAGTCCCTAAACCCTAAAAGTAGTCAAGTTATCATGTGTTTTCAAATAGTAATGGAATTGACGGCTAAGCTAACAAAATCGCTTACTGCACCTGTAAGTCACAAAAACTATGACTTCAATAAGAATATATTAATAATAAAAGAAAATGGTGTAGCTTTGATAATGCAAATGTCATAGCTCAATCTAAAGATGAATACCTGTTGTGAATTCCACCTCTTCGCTGCTGTCACTAGAGACATTAAATCGTGTGGTCCTCACACTGAACACGTATGTTGTACTGGGCTCCAAATCACCAGGAAGTTCAAAATGGCTCATGTCTTCAATTGTACCTAGGCTTACAGGACTGTGATGCTGGTAAAACAACAAGAGACGCCTCATTACATCAGGCTTCTCTGCGGAAATGCTACTTACACAACCTTACCTTCAGCTTATCTCCTTTTTTATGGTAAGTCAAAACGGCCCTAAGTTCCTCTCGAACTGCCCTTTCGTTATTTGACCTCCATTTGATTTGATAAAATGCATTGGATTTGCTCACAGAAATTATTGTTGGAGTATTGGGTTTAACTGTAAAACAAACAACAACAAAACTGTGAATAAATGCATATAACATGAAATAGGAGACGCAAAAATGATTATTCAGACACATAAAGAGTCCGTATAACACAAAATACAGACACAAAAATACACAAAAAAACACCCAAACATACAATATTTACAAAATATGCTAAAGTTAGAGATTTACTTCATTATTATGCTAAAGCTAGAGATTTTATTTGTTATTTTAGTATAAATGTATTGTTCATTCTGGATCTTTCTTAATCTTAATCTTAATCTTAATACATACAAAGGAGAAATACTTGAATTACAAAACATGGAAATGGTATACTCACTGGTTTCATACACGCTGACATTCTGAGAGTGCACACTTTGTCCATCCTTATAAACATTTGCCAAGAATGTATTTCCAGCAATTAATAGCGGCACATTATCATTACCAAACATGTTAGTAATTTGGCAGCAACAACCCTTTACGCACGTTTCAAACGCGCATGTTTTCTTCCAGCTCCTATGGATAATCCGGTTTGTTGAGTGTGGCACATGGCAGTATAAAAATAAACTCATCTGACTAAAGTATACATTTCCACTTACTTATATTTGAGGGTCATTCTGAGTCCTGTGCAGTTTTGGCCATTAGAGGAGCAGGCCATGGTGGTGACATAGTCGTGTGTGCAATCAAGATTGAAACCTGGGAGAGAGATACGCCATTTTATCTATTAGGTTGTGTTCATGTGACATCACAACACTGCAAAGCTTTAAAATTGTGTGTGGAAGACAGCTGACAAATCATTCCTGGGAACTATGGCACATGAATGGATCCTGGGTCAATGCACATGAAGCCAAAACTGTCAAAGTTCCACATCTTAGGCATTGCTTATTAGTGAATTATTATCTCATAAAGGTGTCTATAGAAGTGGTGAGAATATTCAAAACAGATCAGCTGTTGGCCAATACAAGAAATTACAACAGACATAAGAATATAATGGCAGGTTTGTGAATCTAAAAACTATCAACTCGTATCAAAACTTGATCAACATTTCTTTCCCGTATTGGCATTGTGATAGAATTCCAGAGCAGGAACACATCTTATTCTAGACATAAAAAATGATTCCAAAAACATGTGAAATCACATTCATGAAAAGAAGTCTTACCAGATGTCCCAATGAGGATGGTCCACTCAATAACCAAGATAAAATAAAGCATTCTGACAATTCGCGTAAACTATACATTCAATGGCTGTTTTCAATGTTTCCTGCACAGGCCTTAACTACGGAGTTCAATCCAATGCACGGGTCTCTTCCTGTAAGAGTAGGCTCGTTGGGAAACATATTGCGACAGACTTTCCATGGAAGGACGTCCCACCCATTTGCTCAGCTGCAGTACCTCAAATTCACCAGGAGGCGGCGCTTTGTGCACTGACTTAGCTGCTGCAGACCCTTTCTCCTTTCATCATCCATGTTTCATCCTTCTGCAGAGAACATGTCCAGGGTCTCCGCTGAACCTGCGCCGCGACCAGTGAGAGTTTGGGTTGCTTTGAAGCGCCTTTATAAAAATGGTTTGTACATCCGACTTCTTCCGACGACATTGTTATAAATAGTATTGTTTTTATTTGCTTTGCCGCGCCTTTTTTATTCTGCGTCTTAGTCCAGAGATACAGCATTGTGAGTTTGAACATCTTTGCACATTTCTTTTCTCGCATTATTAAGACAGACCGTGTTGTTCGTACAGTTAAATCATTCATTTTACAGCACTTCACAGCAACAGGTGCTTTTGACATGCGCGTATGTGTGCGTGCGTGCGTATACCAGGCTTGCGACCATCCACTTCAAAGTAGGATTTACAAATGAGAAAAATATGCGTAACATGATTTTGTATCATTAAAATGCTTGCAACTACTGTTTAGGTATTTCCATATCGTGACATCATCTAAGGCGCCTGATATTGATATATCCCCCTCATGATAATGAACCTGTATGTGTCCATGCCTGTGTTCTTTAAATATGCTAAACTCTTAACAGATGTCAAATGTTTCTTGTCCAGATGACAGAGTGGTTGCTCTTCGAGAAGTGCTTATTCCTCCTAAAGCTGATTTAGCAACTGTTGTTGAAGTAAGTGTTTATATTTTTATTATGAATGATTAATTAAGGCAGTAGACTGATGCTCAATTGTTAACACCAATATTCTGTGTTTAGGTGGGAGAGAAAAGAAACGTTGTTTGAGATGTAAATAATAGTCATAGAACATTAGGCTCCAATGAGCACCTAACCTGATGCTCATACATTAGGCTCTATAAGCATCAGAAAAATAAAGCAAGGCAAATTACACACATCAGAGGACATTTCCTTCTTGTGGCATTACACCTGCATGGGGAAGCTTGAAAGGGCCTGGTTAGTACTGTGATGGGAGACCTCTGGGAACATCTGGTGCCACAGTGGGGCGGCTGTAAACTGCTGTTGTGTCTTTAAGCAACCACTTTTCCTCGTATGAGTCTGGCATGTGCGTGGATGATTGGTGCTGGTCGGAGAAGCAGATGGCACAGATCAATAGCCTTACTTCTTCATTCTGCCCCAATGCAGCTGTGGTATAGTTTACCACCTCAGTATGGATTGAATGTTGTTTGGTGTCATGAGAAGGGCAGAATATGTACCATGCATCAGGCCTTCGAACCCTCTTGTGAAGTGTTATTATGGACCATAAATAGACATACAAGCCCTGCATTATGTCATGTTTGCTCTGAGTAAATTCTTTCAATAAACCTTTCCAGATATTCTCAAGTATTTTTCGCCTGGATATACCAAACCCAATATTAAAGCTGAGAAATCATCGAGGCTTCTTGATTCCTTTGAATGGCTCAGTTCCCGTGAACAGCAAACATAAGTAGGTCACACATCACACACTTACATCCAAATGATAAAAACTAAAGCAGTGTGTGATTCACTGCAGGCCTTATGTACTCGAGGTGACCGACATTTTTCAACATGGTAATCATAATTTTTCAGTTTTTCAGAAGATTTATATGTTTACTTTTGAATGACATGTTTTAATGTTTTGTTTTTGTTGACAGTAACTGTAAAAGCTCGGACCATTCCCATGACTGTGATCAACAAGAACATGAAAACCAGGCTGCACATCATTGACAGAAGGGTTAGCAACACTTCCTGAAGATGTCAAATATTTTCTGAACACTAAGAATATTAAAGTGTATTTTTATTGCAGATTCAAAGACTGGAAGAGTTGCTTCCACACGTAAAACACCGATACAATGACAAATTGACCCAGGTATTATTTTTTCTGAATGTATGTGTTTATATTGAAAACTGTTAGATCTTTGTAAGAGCCTTTATACTTTTGTTTCTTTCCCTCTATATAAAGGAAGTAGAATGCCTCACCCAAAAGTTGAATTTTCTTCACCAGAGAATGCAGGTAATATTTTTTTTTACTTTATGATTTTGTGTTTTGTCCACTTCATACGCTCACTGTCAAAAGTTTGTTAATAATAACTTTTTCTGGGATTTTTTTCTTTATTATTTTTAGATTGCAGATTCTCACACTTGGAAGGGGATGCTAACCAGAGCTCCTTTATGGTGAACCTATGTGAATGTATAAAGGGGCTTATACACATCATCGTCATCATTATTATTATTATTATTATCATTATTGTTGTTGTCATTATTATTATCATTTCTCATAATTATTCTTCATTGTCAGTCCTGGAAAATTCTTATAGAGATACTTACAGCCTATTTTGGACATTAGTGTCAGGAGCAGTCATGTGATGTTTATTATTATTATTATTTTATGTTCATTGATTGTTTTCCCTATAGTTTAAGCATCTGAAATAAAACATAATAAGCACATATGATTCATCTATTTTTATATCACTACCAAAGTAAGCTAACCATGACCAAAAAAAATTGAGAAACTAATCAAACGTCTTGTAAACGTCTCACGATTTCATAAACTTGATAACATATAAACTACATTTAGATGCAGAAAAGACCAAAAACTTGGTCTTGATAAGCTAATGATCTTCAAAACTGGTGGAAAAAAATTTTGGGGATTTTTTTTTTTTTTTGTATAGCACGGATTTTGAAAGGGTGAGGACCATGGTGAAGACGTACTAATCATAGACTGTATATGTACTAATTGGATTGTTATTATCATTGTGTTTTAAAAGTTAGGCACCCCAGCTTTAAATTACTACCAAGAAATGACGTCACCAAAAGCTGTGACCAGTAAGCGGAAGTAGTGCAGGACGTATCGGCCAATCAGGGTCCGTGTTGTTGATGAGTCAATATTTCCAAAATCAAAACAGAAAAAACATACGTTGCAAGATATTGCTCAGTAGTCTAGAGAGTGCGTTTATCAGACACTGTTTAGACATTATTTTAGTATGTTATTTTTAATATTTGTGCATTAAATGTCTATTAGAAGAGCTCTGGTTGAGTGCGCGGTGGTTTCTCTGCAAGACTCCTGTGTGTTTTATCCGCACTGCAAAGGCTGCTTTTCAAGAATAGACACTGACACTGCAGACACTAGGTGAGTCTAAATATGAGGTACTAGTACTTCCTTACAGTTAAAGCTGCACCATGACAACAACAGGTTGTTAAGATAAGATTTACTTTATTAATCTCACACAGGAGAAATGTACATGTCACATTTGGCATGGATAGAAACTAGGGCTGAAACAACTAATCGATTAATCGACGACTAATCGAAATAGTCGATTAGTCAAAGCTCATATTTGAGCTTTGAAATAGTCGACAACTATTTTATTAATCGATTAATTGTTTTCTGGTTCACACGGACTCAAACAGAGCAAAAATGACATGAAAATGTAGTATTTTTGATTAAAACCGACTTTGGATGAGACAGACAGATATTCATGAAATTATAAAAGCAATCAGATAGCAGAATTAGCACAAAGAGCCTGTTACAAACATTTACTTTAAGTTCACGCCATCAATACGTCCTCGAGTGTTGCCACTTTAGCTTTTTGTGATGAAAAAATAATTTTTTTCTACACAATTCACAGCCAAGCAATTACTCGATTAATCGTAAAAATAATCGATAGATTAATCGATTACAAAATAATCGTTAGTTGCAGCTCTAATAGAAACACTCAAGATTGTGCAAAAAGTAAGAAATGTGCAAACATGTTGATGCAGGACATATTATGTGCAAAAAGTGGCACTAAGAAAGAAGTGTCAATAGTAGTGCAGGTTTTTTCAGTCTTAATGCAGTGACTTAAAGTGACTTGTTGTACAGTCTGACAGCGGTGGGGATAGTCAAGCTTCTAACTCCAGATAAGCAACCCACTCAAGTTCTACCTATTCTGTTGGTCTTAATGTCTGCTGGTATGAAACATATCTACTATAGTATAATACATTATAATTCAACATACCTATTAGCAGTTTGTAATGTTATACTTTTACTGAAGGAAGCGATGGATATCAGTAGTTTCTGTTTCAGTAGTCTGTCTGTGTCATAGACTTTCCTGCTCAAAGTGTGGATATCGCTGTGTCCGGAGCCTCGTGGACTATAGATACCGTCTGTCTGTGCGAGTGGCCCGAGGGAACTGCCTCTTTGGACTCACGGTTTTTGGAAACTGCTTGAATCAGTTCTTTGGTATTCATGCGACCGCTTTACAAAGGTCAGTAGCTTTGGCCTGTTTTACAAAGATCACAAGAAGTACATGTATTCCACCATAATATTTGTATTTATCTAGATTGGTGACTGATTCAGGAGGGGCATCAGATAAATCTACATTGTTGGTGAAAGCAGTGGAGGAGTGTTTCATCGGGAAACACTTCATCTTTGGTATCAAGGTACCACAAACACGTTCACTGGTGTATGAAAGTTATACATATTCATGTTTTTTGGGTCTTCCAGGTAACTGAAGGTGATCATGAGCCTTGGGTTGGGCGTTCCACTGGCAATAAAAACATTGCTCAACTTATCGCCACACAGATGATCCTTCCAGAAACTGCTGGCTTAAGGGGCTGCACTGTTCTCAGATGTTTTGAGGAAATCTTCCAAAAAGATGTGGAAGCCAAGCTGTGCACAACGGAGAAACATGAGGAAAATCTCCAAAGACGGCTGCTATGGCAACCCAACTCACAAACGAGTGGATTCACAAAAGACACGCGTTGTTCTAGTTTTCACCCTTTGTCTTTACCAAGGTATTGGAGTTATCTCAAAGTTTTATTAACCATTTATTTATTATTAAATAACCAGGGGACAATTATTCTTTGCTTACAGATCACACTGTCTGAACAGCTCGCTCAGCCCCACTCCACCTTGGCAGCAAACCCTTGGACTTATTACTTCGTCCGCAGAGCAGGATGAAAGAAGCCAGGGTCACAAGAGCAACACTTCTTTTACTGAAAAGTATTTGCGACGCAGAACACCATTAAAAACCTGGTTGAGTGCTTTTCCAACTCCTCACCCAACCACGAGGCCAAGTCTACATGTGAAGGACAGCCCCACTCCAGACATCACCAAATCTGTTATCTCTGAGTATCAGGAGGAATTTCCCCTCTCCGAGAGTCTGACTGAGTTTTTGAAAGACAAAAGCCCTCCTACGCATAATAAATTCTCTTTGGAATCTATTGATGATTGTTTTGAGCTTGTGGACAGGAGCCAGGCTGATGTTGGTGGTCACATCTCTGCACCTCTAAAGCCAAATGAAGCCAGCGTAGAGGAGCAGTCCCAAAGCGGTGTCTATAATTGTTCAGCAGATCTCTTCAGCAACTCCCCAACAATAAATGTGAGTGCAGAGAGTTTTGATATTTGTCACAGAGTCTGCGCATCAACAACTAAAGCTCGTCTTTCGGCTTCATCTTCTTCATTGACGTTGAAAAGAACTTTGTCCGAAAAAGAAAACTGTTCAATACTAAACAATCAAGAACGGGAAGAACGCAGAGAGAGTTTTCAGTGCAGTCTCGGTGCACATTTGGATTTTATTCCTGCCTCTCAGTCAACACCCATGGAAAAAGGAAAGTATGTTCGGTCAAACATGAGGACCAAATATGCTAGAAAATGTACAAATGAATGTTTTTTACAAAACCAAGACATGCTCAAATACTCTTTCACCCCAACAAGCGGTAAACCAGACAGACTGCACCATCAACATGGACTCGAGTTGAATTCAAGACTGGGGGCAAGTTGCTTAGGAATTAGCGTTACAGACACTACTTTGATGGTTCCACCTACACCGGCTCCTTCCAATAAGTCACAAATGAAACTAGAATCTTCCTCCATCAATTTATTATTGGAGGAAAATGCATGTTCAACTCCGGATGAAGAATGTGATTATTCAAAGGATTTGTTTTATTGACTCCGTGTGATGGGTTTTCTGTACATGTCAAACGGAGTCGAATGGGGGGTCTTGTACCGGATTATCTTCGAGATCCTCCTCATCAGCTTTTTCCTGTACATGACATTGTGAATGAATGTACGTAAATCACTTATTGTATGAATCGATACAAGTCTCACAAAGAAATAACAAATGTGGTATTAATACAGTTTGTGATGGATATTAAAGTGACCCACATTTATGTGTTAATCCATGGTTTACATTTACATTACATCAAGACTGTCAGACTGTACAGCAAACCTGGATGAGTATTCTGCTGCTGGACACCTGAATTTATCCTATGGGAGATCAATAAAGTATCTATCCATAGTTTGAGGTGATATCATATCATCAAATGATATCAATACATGTTATATCATCATGTGAAGCTACTTGGGTAACTCCCTGGAGCCGTACAGGGGACATTCAACATTTGAGTTCATTTGCAAAATTTGTCTAAAAATTGTTTTACTCTAGCTACAATCTTCAACATGGTTTGTTATAGCCAGTACTACTGAAATGAAAGGCAAAACTTTATTTGTATGGCACTAACATATATTTGGATTATTTATTTTTTAAAGCATTTCTAATATATTTTCAGTCTGTTTTGGGATTCCAGTAATTTTCACTGTAGTTGCACGACTATCTTAACCTAAGAAATGAATTCTTGAATATTCATAATTATCTAACATTACAAATCCTAATGCTGGAAATACTGTCCATGTGTATTACTGAATAAGCAGTAAGACTAGGCAGGGCAAGTTTATTTGTATTGCACAGTTCATACATGAGGCAACTCAAAGTGCTTAGTAATGTGCTTTGTACTCGATAATTGCAGTAACACTGGAACACAGCAGCACATTCTGTTTGTGTTCATGTTGCAGTGGCTCGTACAGTACAGGGTGCACCCCGTTTTTGTGCCTGCAATACTTTGGCAGAGTATCATAGAATAAATATACTGTGTCAAAAGTGATTTGGAGCCAGTCTGACGGAGTGTGCCAAGAGAAAACCAGTACAGTGCAGTAGATTTAGCACGACGCAAATGGTGGACATGCTTAGGCAGCGCTACCTCAGGGCGCCTTGGGACTCGTAAAACCATTAAACTGGTTTTTAATTTGTTGCAGCCATTACAGTTGACAAATGTTAACTTACTGTATATTTGAGGGATTCTGGCATTAGATATTGTGCTTGGCCAGTGCTTGCCTCAAACCTTTCTTGTGGTAAAAATAAAATAAAAAGTGGCCAGTTATGGACTTCCATATTGAGACATTTGGTAAAGGAAACGTAACAGTTTGGTAGTAATATCACATTTCCCCCCAAAGTCTTAAATGACCAAACCTGGGCCAACCCTGCACTTATTTAAATGTAATTTTAAAAATCCTTCATTTGTGATTAAAAACTATAGAACATTCGAAAAAGTGACAAAAATAATATAAATCTACTTTGCTGTTATATTCACATGTCATAAAGACATACAATAATGAAAAGCATTGGGTTCTTCTAAACCAGACATTATAATGTTTTGTGATGTTTTTACCTTGACATGTTTCGATGGATAGATTCCATCTTCCTCAGAAGCGTCTCGCGACAACACATGCCTTTATCAGCTGCTGTTCCCAGGCGCAGTTTTATTGTCTGGTATAGAAGAACCCAATACTTTTAATTCTACTAAGAAGATGAATCTTCTTTAACTAAAATAGACATACAATAATATTTGAATAACAACTTATTTGAATGCATTATTTTAACAAATACACATGCTTGGATACAATATAAAGCAGGCATATCAAACTAAGGCATGTGGGTCAAATCCAACCCACAACACCATTTTTAATGGCCCCAAACATGATTCTTAATTATCTATATCAACCTGCAGCATAGATGGTGGACTACTATGGCATGTTATACATCACTTATTTTCTCAGATAAACAACCATTTATATGAAATTTTCTAAAATTATGTTTAATATCAAACCATATGTTAACCTTTTATAATGGGTACATTTTTGGTTAAATCCAAATAATAAACACATTTCATGACAAATAAATGTAAGGTCAATTAACAATTTATTTCTTTGACCCTGATCCGCTCCTTTTCTCCTTGACCAGATTAAGTTTGACACCCCTGATCGAGAGTTCACCGCTTGCTTAAAATAAACTACTACTCTGCTGTGTGCAATATTAGACAGTATTTCCATTACAGTAATGCCAGCCCTGTCTGGTCACATCGCATGGTATGGAGACTTGGCAGAACAACCAGAGGAGCCTGAGGTGAAGAGGCGTGACGAGCACATGGTCTGGGGGGAGGAGCAACTGCCTTATGGGGCATTGTCAACAAATCGTCATCAAACTATCATGGGCACAGACCCCATGGCACGGACTTGAACAGTGGCCAGGAAATCCTCTTGTTATCCAACTACATGACAATGTGTAGTAATGGTTGTCGTACATGGAACTTATGTTATATTTTTTGTCATGCTAATGATTTTTTTCCTCCTGACAATGAATTATTTGCGTTTACCTTTAACAAAAATTTATAAATAACCCATTATCTAGGCTTATTTGATACAATACAATACAGTACAATACAATTTATTCTTGTATATCCCCAAATCAGTAGTCATCTCAGAGGACTTAACAAAACCATTGAAATCACCAACACAGATCAGAGTTAACACACATAAAGAATATAGAACACATGTTGATAAATGTCCATACATGTTGTAGAATATTAAAGTTTCCTGGATCATCACCACAGTCCTTTGATACAGCTAAATGCATGGCCGTACACAGCATTGAGGGTTATGAAGTCGGGACCCAGTTTTTTTCTGGATTGACTTCTCAATATCAAGATTTGTATGTATTTTTAGTCATTGCCTCTTTTTTCCTCCTGTATATACAATCCATATATATTTTGTACATTATTGCATTTTTAAAAACACTTTTTAAGAAGTACAAATAGCTGGAGACCTTTTGTGATAATGTTGGCTTTGTCAATACAATCTGTTTTAAAGTGCTGACATGGAATTTCTTATTCAAAACACTTCTAGAATTATAGAATTAACATAATCTTAGTTTAAATATTCTACATAATCTCACCTGCTACTATTAAAGACAAATAGGTTGTTGAAATTCAGGGAGTCTGATCTAATATCCTAATATGCATACATCAGTAACATGAAGCAACGATGATATCCTCATTATGTAAATCTATACTTAATGTATCTGACATGTCCTGTGTACGGCCCTGCCCAGACATCAAATATATTTAAATGATTTTAAATTGTAGTGTTGAGTTTCATTCTGCTTTAGACTGGTGCAGGACGCCTCTGGGTGACATCACGAGGGCCCTGTCAGCAGCTGCCCCTCAGCGTCACTGAGCTCCCAGACCCTGTGATTGTTTTCCAACAGAGGCAGGGTGAGCATGTGCATGTCCAGGGCTATAAAGTCCACATGTGAGTCCTCTTCATTCAAACTCCACTCTCTTCCGGCGCTCAGGACGCGGTTCCAAAACCTCAAGAAGGTAGGACATTCTGTGACTTTTTTACTCTGGACATTACTAGGTTGGGTTTTCACATATTTTTCTGGGAATATAATAGGACTAGATACTAAGTTGTAGGTCCATAATTTCAAAAAGTTTTACAGTATTTTTTTTTGTTTGGAGTGTTGCAATTATTGTAGGTTTAGTATTTGTTTTTTTTAGATTAAATTTCCCCACTGAGGGACGAATAAATGTTCTCTTAATGTTATCTTTTACGATCCAGTTAAATCCAAAATTCAATATGTGTATGTGATTGATAAAATCTTCCTCTTATTGTTACATGTGATGATGTTTTGTAGATGGGACTTACAGAAGGAGATGGCTGTGAGCGTTCTGCTTTGCTGTTGGCCAAATTAAACCACCAGAGAATGAAAGCTGAGTTCTGTGATTGTGTCATCAGAAAGGGACAGGGTCAGATCTTCCCTGTGCACAAGTAAGAGACTGGAGAACAGCTGTTGGGTCCATCATGAAAACTTATTTACGCCTCTTTAAAAAATCTAAGGAAAAATTTAAAACAATCTCTCAGGATCAGCAGTGAAAAGACACTCTGGACACTTTTGACAGTAATGAAAAATCCTTTAGAGAGGCTGAACTAGTCAGTGCGTTGTGGCCACATAGGTCCTGAAGAAGACTCTACATGACTGAAACATGTTGACGAATCTCAATACTTTGGCTTTCGGTATCTTCTGACCCCCCATATTTTTCTAAGCTATATACCAAATTTTACTTCTTATATTTTAGAAATTTTGTTGTTGTTGATTTAATCCCTTGTTCTAAAGACTATATAGATTAGAAAACTGTCTTTGTTCCAAGCTTTGCAGGTAGAACAAATGCAAACCATGAGAATGCAAATGGTTTTAATTGCACAGCCCTGAGGTGACATGACATTGCTGTTTTCTGCAGGTGCATCATAGCTGCCTCCAGCCCTGTGCTGGCTTCTATCCTGTGCTCCAGTGGTGTTCTGGTGGAGCTGGAAGCCGCTTGTTTATCTGACTGTATCCTGGAGCTTGTGCTGGACTACATCTACACTGGAACTTTACCAGACCTGGATTATAAACTGTATTTGTATCTTCTTGCTGCTGCCCAATACCTGGAGATGGATGAACTGCAATTTAGCATAAGGACTAAAGCAGGGACACTGGAACATAGCAATAATACAAATAATGAAGAAGCCATTGAATTTGCTTTATTACAACCAACGATGGATTGTTACGAAAAGCCATCAGAGCCTTTGCGGTGCACTCCAATGGAGGGAAAAAGTATATCTATAGGTTTCAACAACATCTACATGACCAGCAAACCTGAGAATTATGGTATATCTAGGACTGAATATGCATCAAAACATAAAAGAGGCAGTTCTTTCAGTGAAGATACAGAGCAGTCAGGAGTGTCCCAAGAGCAAGAGAAGAACCAGTCAGCTTGGCATGAAAACAAAGAGAAGGCCAGATCACTTATATTTGTTTCCACCGAAGAGCAACAAATACAAATGAACAGGGCCAAAGACCTTTGCAAACAAAGGGTTTCCAATGAAGACAATAACTGTATTCGTCTGTGCTGTTCCACTTCTGTTATCCGCCATAGCAGCAGAGTAACAGGAGAACATGAGGAAAATGTGGCTGTAAAACGTCCTCATGACACAGAGGCCAAGACCAGTCATATCCAGCCAGAGCGAACATGTCAAGACGGGAAGGATCGCTTTTTCAACAGACCCCCGGACAGCCCACCTCTTCATGAAGACAATATGTTTTCAGCTAATCTGTCAAAACACAAAAATCTACCGGACATTGACTCTAAAGAGAATAATATCTATCAAAATGACAACAATCACAGACAAAAATCATGTAAAATGGATAAAAAGACATGTAGCGTACTGGGTGACACTATTGTTGCGCCATCAGATACAAGAAAAAAGTTTAAGGACAAAGAAATGAGGAAACTGAAAGAGGAACAGGGTGTCAAATGTGCCAAATTAGCAAACTCTGATGTTGCATGTTCTGATGCTGCTGTAGCAGAAACCAAGACAGATTCTCCAGATGAAGATACATTGCTGGAAAGCAGTAGTATTCCAACAGTGAGAAGGTGTGAAAGTTCACCAGGGCCAGTAGAAGACAACACATGTCAGCCTTCATACAGTGGCCAACTTCTTTACTGTGAACCCGGAGGTAGTCACATCCCAAATTTCAGCCCTACTCTTTCAGACACATCTAGCGAGGACAATACGTCAACATTTTCCGATTTTGCCACGTCAGAAGGGCAGGTTGTTTTGTTGGATATTAGCTCTACAACTGAAACGTTGGTGTCTTACAAAAACACAACTCAAATGGGAACACATGCAGATACTATAGATAGAATAAAGACGGATCATGATCAGACACCTAACCTTGGATTCCAAGGGGGTAATGAAAGTCACATAACATCTTGTCATGAAGACGGAGCTCATATTTGGGCTGGGTCTTTGACAAGCTGCACACGAGTTACAAACAGTTCTTGTGTCTCGGCTGTGTCTTGTTTGAGTCCCTCATCGAACATGCAAACCAGTGTGTCCCCTATGCATCACGCTTTCAGGTGCTCCCTGTGTGAGCGCTCCTTCAGTCAGAGAGGATCTTTGAACAGACACGTGAAGAGCCACCTTGGAGTGCGGCCGTTCCCCTGTCCGCAGTGTCCCATGTCGTTCTCCCGTCAGTACCGCGTCACAGAGCACATGCGTGTACATCAGCGTTCTGCTTTAGGGGCCGACTGCACAAAGCCTTCAACAGTTTAAAGGCTCCTCAGTAATGGACATGGTCAATACTGGTCTGGCACTAAAAGACAATAAGACTCGTATCTGCCTTTTGATTTTGAGTAATTTTTGAGTAACATGTACCGTCACAGATGCCATAATGCTGTTACCGATATGCCTGATTGGTGTTACATTTATAAGTGCCATTTAAGAACTCGACAAAATGATATCATAGTCACTGTTTGCAACTTTATTCTATCATGTATTGAATTATTACGTAAACGTTATATTAAAAGTAAATTAAATGTGGATTTATGATGATCATATATAATGTACATACAATTATGATGTACAGATGTAAACATACTGCTGCTAACATGTACAGATGTAAACATACTGCTGCTAACATGTACAGATGTAAACATACTGCTGCTAACATGTACAGATGTAAACATACTGCTGCTTATGCTAACATATAAGCGTCTTTGAGTGTCCAAAAAAGCGCTCTATAAGTTCGATGCATTATTATTATTATTATTATTATATATACGTGCCTCTTATTCTGTCCAATGTAAAACTTTTACACTTATTATTATTATTAATTTCAAGATAGAGATGTTATACTTTTATTGATGCTAGAGTTAGAGATTTTGTTTTATTCTTATTACTATAGCTATTGTTCACTTAACGTGTGCTGTGTGCTCCTCTTTCCTACTGTTCTATAACTTGTGATGCAACACTGAAATTTCCCCACTGTGGGACAAATAAAGGATCTCTTAATCTTAATAACTTTAAATCATTGATTGTCAAATGTTTCATATTTTATAAAAATGGTGTAAAGACAAAAAGTAAAAAAAACACAATGTTACGTACAAATCCTATTAGTTTTCATCAAGGACTCTTATTCTGCAGCAGTCTCTTTCTTGACGGTCTTCATCACGACAACAGCCTGTAGGACAAAGAGGTCTTTGTTATAGGTCAGGTCTCAAAGATGCACTGATAATGAAATCATCTATCGTCATAAATCACTCAATCAAGTTTTGATCCAACATTGAGCCACATCCTGTTAGTTTCTCAATTGGTGGGTCAGGATCCAAAAGTGGGTCATAAACCTTTTTTATGTATCTACACTGCAAAAGTCATTTGTTGATGATTCATTGTGAGGTAAAATTGCCCCATTAGCAGATTTATTGACCTATTATTGTCTACTTTCCTCTGTTGAAGTCATTTTGTAGTTTTATTCAGTTACTATAACACAATAGTTTTTTTAAATATACGGTATTATCGATTATTTATAAATTAATTGCAGCCATGGCTTGAAGCATCACTGATGATGGTGGGTCCTGACACCGGTCCAGCTGAGAACCCCTGACTCTAATTGAATTTTTAAAATCCAATGTTACTCTGTTATTAATATAATCTGTTTTTAGTCTCAGCATTGTATTTGATTGATGCTTGATTCCAAAGAACTGTTAACAATAATCAAAGTGAAAAGATCTCATTGGTGCATTCCTATCTTTCTGTTTGCAATAATAAATGTGTCTGAGAAGGCCAGTGGTCTTACCTGGTTGTTGGTAGAACGCAGAGCCATTCCTCCCAGAGTTGACATGACAACAAAAATGATTCCACCTGTTACGAACTGGACCAGATAAATATAATCCAAACTCTTGCCCATTGTCTAAATATAAACATGAATCCAAATGATTAGTTTTTTTATTTCAAAATGAATTCATGAAATAAAAGAAATGCTTGCCTCATATTGTAACATGGCAATATATTCCGTATCTGTGACATTTTCTTCCATATATTCGTAGTGCCGGTTGTAGTGGCCATGAACAAGAACAGGGAGGTTATGCAAAATGGTCCACACCGTCCCAAGTAAGGAGAAGATGCTCAACGCCAAACATATGGTTACCTACAACAATCAAAGTCAACACCAAATAAAATCATTATGTTAAAGATATTGGGCAAAAACATTTGATTATTCATTATAATCATCAAATATTTGTGATTATTATATAGGGAACACGAGCATGAATGATGAATACTGTAGGTGGAAAAAACACCCTATTTTACCGGAATGCCTAAACAATAGCTGATATACAGATAATAACAATAACCAATGAATTAACAAGGTTTTATCTAATTCTCCTCTCATCCTCACGGGTCTAAGTATGTGCCTTTTGGTCTGGTCCCATTTGTAATAAGCACCATGTTGACTGCATATATGATTATGTTGATTGATTCACACTCACATAATGATAGAATAAAACTGGCTCTTACTGTTTTCTTTGTTGGATTGTGTTCTGTTATTATATACAAAATCCCACATATGATGCACTGTAAGAGAAAGCGTCATCGTCAAGAAGAGGAACTTTGACAGCCATGCGTTTTCATTTTCAACCCACTAACCAGTGTTCCTTGGAAAAATCCAGGTGGGATGACAGCCAGTATGTAAAGTGAGCCTCTACTGTCAACAACCACTGCGGTAAAAGTGAACATAGAGGCTCCTAAAACCAGCACAATGACCTGAAACACACAACATGTTACTATACTTTTTTATGTTGAAAAAGAAGGCTGAGTTTTCAGGGAGATTTAATTTTTTTAAAGAGGGTTTCACTTCATCCAAAACTCTTTCCGGAGTGAATTCATCTCAATGCTTCTTCTGTTGAAATGTATTCCTATAACTGACAATTTGACTGACTGAAATTAACAACTACAACCAACCAAAAAGATTAATAATAAGAAAAAGTATTTACTCCGACGATCTTTGGTTGTCCTTTGATGAAACGGTGCAGTGGTTTGGTTCCTCCTGCGGTGGTGGTTTGAACAGATTCATTGTTGTCGCTCGGTGGTGGTGATGTGTACAGTTCAGCCGACATCTACACATAAAGGCACGATAAATGATCATCGGCTTCTGTTTAAACATACTATACTATACTCATTTTCCATTCTGAAGAAACAGCTGATATCTAAATGAAACAAAGATTGTTAATTGTTCATCTGTAAGCCAATAGCCACTAAATGAAATCACAGTTTAGAGATGGCTTAGGTGTGTCAAACCATTTTTAGAGGCCCCTAAAATGATTTCAAATTATTATTAACATGTAGCATTGATTGTAAAGGGCTACCGAGGCGAGTTATTATTATTATTATTTTATTTATTTTTTACATTAAACACATTTTGTTAATTCAACCAAACTCATGTTCAAACACATGTAACATAAAAGTCATGCCACAATACCCTCATTATGTAAAAAACAATAAGAACAGAAACAATAACAAGAATATGAATACAAAACATAAAGAAAAGGGAACCCCCTCTATAATTTGTACCCGACCAATTCCTATTGCCACTAGGGGGCGTCACAAACTATAAAAAGGGCTGGTGATGGATCTGTTTATAAGTGTTTCATGATATATAGTGTGAAGTGGCCAATGGCTATACAGTTCATTATCACTCCTGTGGTGAAACATGTGCTGTGAAATAAAGGATTGGTCGGGTTTATCACCACCTTAGCACCCTAGTTTTATTTCTTTAAACTAGAATCACATTGACGACTTTTCCTTCAATGAATACAGATGTTTATCGTCCATATGTATCTTGTTTTAATATGCGCTGCAACCATAGACTGTATAATGCAACACTGACACATCTGTTTCTTAAAAAGTTAGGTGTGTCCAAGGCCTGATTTATGGACGCCAAGCTTCTCCTTTTTTCCCATCGGTCAACTTGTACTTTTTACTGGAAATCGCTGATTACACGTTTAAATGCTCTGTATACGCTCCACACAACGAACACATCTGAAACTAACCATCTCGCTCCTGGATCACTCCACGTACGTCTTACTACGACGCTGTTTCACGCAGAGAAAGTCCACCCAGAGTTTTAAGGGCGCAGCTGCAGCATCTCAAAGGATAAGTTATTATAATAGATCCATGGGATAAAAACACGAGTCGCGTAAGAAGCAAACACTCACGCACGATGAGATCTAACATTCGCCACATTTGAGTAAAGTTTTGTGTGCAGACTCGTACCGTGTTCACTCAGCGGTGGTCTCAGCTCTGTTTGTGCTCAGCCAAATCTGGAACCACGTAACTGTGACGTCACGCCAGCCTCTCCCCCGCTGTGCAGTCTGCTGACATGCCCGTTACTCAGCTTCCTCCAAACCTCACCCAAGAGATAAATACATGTAAAATGCTCTTCTGAACGCCAGGGATAGGGCTACATGATGCAGGACTAATGCAGAGAATAGAATAAACACATGTGAGGAACTGGACACAACAAACATAAACATTATGTTGGAATTAGTTTATTAGAAAATGTGTTTTCTGTTGTTTTTTTAGAATAAAAACAGGCTCATTTGCTTTGCAGACCTGGCAACAAACTAAAGAGGCCAACATTCTCAAATCATATTCAAGGCCTATTTATTGTTGCCATAGAGACATACAACACATCAAACGGATTGGACTATAATGAATGCATCTTTCATTGAAAGAACTTCACAACCATCTTTGATGATTAGTGCTTGAGACACTAGACAAAACCAAAACAATAAGTGCCAGGGCACAGCACGAGATACTCAAAGGAAACAAAACAGGATCATTCAAACAGCAAAGATCTATTACATGCGCATACTTCTGACAGTATCATTTGAGTGACAAACTTCAACATTCATTTACAGATATTTGTGTATCTATATTTCTTAATTTAAGACAGTCAAAACATCTATGCTCTCATAATCACAGTTGGTCACACAGCAAGATGTAGTTCAACACATGGCACATCACTGAAAGACCCTCAACACTTGCACAACATCAGGAATATGTCAATATTATAATCATCAGGACTCTTTTCTTGCATGGTGCTGTTAATGTAACAATCGGTAGGTGTTATAGATTGATCGATTATCACTTTTTTAAAACCGATACAAAATGTGAATCCTTACTTAGTGGTATAAACCTATTAGAAGACTACACAAACAATAACAAACATGATCAGAGTGGTTAAGAGACAGTATAAAATATATATAAAATCTGATAATTTACTCTTTTAAATATACAAAAGACTGTGAGAACATTAAAGACCTGGGGTTATTGAAACCATTGACATACAAACTTGAACTTGCATTGATTGGCATTTCAAAATATTTAGAAACTACATTCAAAATATCTGTACAGTGTGAATATTTGCATAAGACAAAGACTAAATGCATACGTTTGCATTGATCTGCATTCAATATTAAAACCAGTTAAGATGTATCTAAACCACACTCTTCACAGTAACTGAACCTGAAAAACCTCTCGGGACATTCTGTTGTATAAATGCATGTGCTTCATATGCTCAATAAATGTAGTGTAAAGAAATACCTGTTTTCTATAAGGCAGTAACTTACATGTATGTCTATTTCATTAGTTCCCTGCTTGTACGTTAAAATGCTTGTTTAACTGCAAAATAAATAGAATTATATAAAGCAATTAAAAAATGATTTCCATATAAAAAACAAACTAACAAAAGTATTAGTCGTATAATGTGTTTTTGCTTAACATGCCCTGCAGATCATGGTCTGCCTCTTCCGTGTTCATATCATCTAGCTGTTTTCTCCAGTAGCCACACCGATCAAAGTTTCCAGACACTTCCGAGCCGCCATCTTGCAAAAGCACAGGGAAGACGTGGTCCACCATTTCACACAAATGGACATATCTGTGAGACAAAGCGATGTGAGGTTAGAAGCTCAAATCCATTTACACATCCGCATATTTGCTCTGGTTACACTAGCTCTCACACAGGACACTACAAAGCCCTCTTCTCTCTAATTACTACCAATACTCACTTCCGTCTTGTCTCTTTTCATCTGACCTTAACCCTAACCTCAACCATCTCACTCAGACTTAAGGACTTATTAGTCTAAAACTAATTAGAAACTGGGATTGTTCCTTCCGCTTCTGTCCCGATTCCGTATATGATCGAGTGCAGACCCTTTACCCACCTTGTGTCATGGTTTAGGTTTATTTTCTGTTTTTTTTTGTAGTTTGTCAAATCCCTGCTTTGTCTTTAGCTGTACTTCCTGTTTCCTGATTCCCTGCCCTGCCCTGATCTGTATTATCTGTGTCTCGTTAGTCTTGTGTTCGAGTCCTGTGTGTTCCTTCACTCCCTGTTCCGTCATTGTCATTCCCACGTCGGTTTCAGTTCGGTCCTTGGTCCCTGTGTTTTCTCTTGGATTTTGATTTGTATTACTTTTTATTAAATCTGTTTTTTATTTTACCCTCGTGACAGAATGACAGAATCTTCTGTCACAAGGGTAACATACAAGAGGAAAGGTAAAGGTGCACTTTATTGATCCCCGTAGGGCAATTAAATATTATCTTATCCTCTGCATTTGACCCATCCTGATGCCGCTAAGGCTTACGTCAGGAGCAGGGATCGCCGTAGTAACAGCGCCCGGGAACCCATCTCCAGGTGTTGATGCTCGGCTTGGTCAGGACTACCAGAGCTGGAGGATTTAACCTAGTGTGCATGTTTTTAGTGGTAGGGGAAACCCGAGTACCTGGAGGAAACCTATGCAAGCCCGGGGAGAACATGCAAAGTCCACTCAGAAAGACCCCGTTCCGACCGGGATTCGAATCCAGGACCTTCTAACGAGACACAGGTGAGGGTAGGGCAGGTTAATCAGGAAACAGGAAGTGCAACCAAAGACGACAAAGGGACATAGGAAAATATATTACTAAACCATGACACCTTGTTACTACAGTATTTACATCTTAAGCATGCATCATTAATATCTCATGCACATCAATACAAATAATAAATTTGTTTTGTTTGATCTGTATGGACTTAAAAAAATAAACCATGTTTTGGGTGCAATCGCTGCTGCCTTGACTTCTTTTCTCGACATCTCTCTTCTCTGCCCTCTGCATACATCTATAGTGAGCAGCTCAAGTTCTTACGAGGAAATGTTGGTTTTGGCATGTTCTTGCGTCAGCTCTCCTTTGGGGTTAACAGTGAAAATCCTGTTAAGAGGAACCCCCACTTCTTTATAGGAATACACATCCTGGAAGACAATGGTCCACATTTGAGTAAATATTATGCAGTTCATAACATAGACACATTATTCACTTACTGTTGCTCTGTTGCCAAAAGCAGCATAGAACGGTTCTGTGTTTGGGTAAAAAAGTTGCTTGATGTCAGTGAGACATTCGATCTTAAACTTTTCTGGTTTCTTCTCAATGACTTCTCTGTGCGACAAAGAAAGCAAACGTTACTGCAACTGTGTATTTTTTATTTGACGGATAAATGTGATTGTCTCATGCCTGTGCAGTGCAGAGAATAGACTGCTGGGACTGAGCAGAACTGGACCCATAGGCAGCATAGTTCCTCTCTCGTTGACCCAGTTCAGATAACCTCGGGTCATGTCAGCCATGCCAATAGCCCTGGCTGAGCAGTACATAAACTTATAACCATTCCTGTGAAAACATGAGTTGAGATTTGAACTTATTCAATTCATTTAAATTCAATTCAATTCATTTTTGTACAGCTCCTAAATCACAACAATAGTTATCACTGAGGACTTCACAAAACCGTTGAATTCACCAACACAAATCAGAGGGGCACGTGACCAATGTCCATATGTTGATAAATGTTGAATGTTGAGTGTTCTGGATCCTCACCATTGTTCTTAAGTAAGTAATGTGTATTCAAATATTGCATCTTACAGACCAAGGTCACCCAAAGCGCTTTACAATGTTCAGGGTTTAAATATTTTTCCAGTATCTCCACACGGTTATGACGGAAGCGAGACGGCAAACACACTGAAGCATCAAAGCCGCCAATCAACACCATCCATTCATTCACTCACTTAATACATTTCTATTGTACTGTTTTAGTGGTAGTGGAAAACCGGTGCACCCGGAGGAAACCTACGCAGACACAGGGAGAACATACAAACCCCACACAGGAAGGCCTGGAGGGGGAATCGAACCCATAGACCCTCCTGGATTGGCAAGGTTAAGCATCACATCGTGTTCCTTGTACTCACAGGCTGACTTTGTGGTAGAGTCGTGCTATTCCCTGGTGAGTCCAGTCTTTGCCGAGCGTGGGAAGAATGTGACCCAAAGTGTCAGACCTGAAAGTCAAATGAAAAGGATTGAACACCAAACTAGCAGGAAGTATAGACGTTTGCGTATTTCTATTTACCTTGTGATAGTTCCATCTATATCTGAAATTATAATCTTATCATCCCAGTTCCAAAGGTAGATGGTGCCGTTACAGCGACAGGTTCCTTGGTATTGTGTGGTTACACTGAAAACTACCTCATTGGGCCCCTCCCTTAGCTGCAGGCTCGTCTGTAAAAACACACAATACTATTGAGGTCTCCCATGTGTTCACCTGCCTCACTTCACACACATCATCTCCATCATCATCTCTGCTTCACTCTCCAGTACACCGGATATCATCAACACGCAGCAGAAACAAATCCTGTGGGCTCTGTCTATCATCAACTGTGAACAGAACCAGCCAGCCCTGACAGAGGCCGACAGAGGCCGACAGAGGCCGACAGGGGTCAGACTGTACAATGAGAACTGTTGAGCCTGAACATGTCATTCATCTGTAAAGAAGTAAATACTGCAATTATGTGCAACGTGCAATACTGTACTGCAACTTCAGAATGTCACTTTATCTACTTATCCTGCCCTATATGTATATAACTTTACACTATACGTTTATAGATATTTCAAAAGACTGATATTGAAGCATTTACAGCTAGCTAAGAGACATAGCAGCTACCTGTATTGTATATTTTGTGTTGTCTTGTGTAGGAAAGGCGCTCTACGAATAAAAGTCTTGATTGATTGATATTTGTGTGCTTCCTGTGTGCTTTTACTACTGTTCTGTATGTGCGCTGTAACATTGAAATATCCCCACTGTGGAACGTATAAAGAATCTCTTATCGCTTCTTTGGTCTGAGAGGGGTCTTACAGGGGCTAGAGATTATATACAAACACGAATAATCAAAAAAACCAATACATGAATTTGTTCTGAAAAATAATAATTATAGTCATCATAATGTGATGTACCTTTTAAAATGTAAAAAAAAAAACAGATTTACCAGCTGTTCTGATGTGAGCCTCAGCGTCTTCTTGTAACAGATGCTGCTTGAAGCATCTAAGGTTTCAGTTTGAACAGATCCTGACACAAAATTTATGGATCTGTGATCTTCATCACTGGATGACTCATCTTTCACCCTGAACAACAAACATGTATGAATAAATAAAACCCTTTTCTGCATCACTTACAAATTTATAGACTAACCTGTCCATTGGCGACATGGCGAGGGATGCTTCTCCGCTCTCTGCAGCGTCAGCAACAGACTCCTGCAAAATAAAGATGTAGACAATGATTAAATAATAAATACAGTTGATTATGTAGAAGGAGGTCTATGATGATATTTCAACACTCACAGATTTGGAGTCACTGTTTCTGCTCCTCCATGAAAACCACCAGCGTCCGCCTTTCTTTGGCATTCTTTCCTTCATGATGTTCTCCACTGAAGCCTGAGGGATGCATACATAACTCAAAACGGACTGAGAATGAGGCACATCTCACAGAAACACAATATACATGCAACGAAAGATGTGCTCAACAACATTGTGGAGGTTCCTTAATTAAGAAGGAGAATTGAAAAGTGAAACCATGCAATAATGAAAACATGTTATTTTACAGTAGTAAAATGACATGTAGTCGTACATGCTCAGAAGGACCAGCTCCAAAAAGGCCCGGCAAGCAGTACGTGAGGAGGCCGAAAACAGAAAACACATAGCTCAAGCACCAATACTTTAAATCATATAGATGTGGGAGTGATGATGATGCAAATTAAAATAAAACCACAAGAAAAACAAGAAAGTGACAAGAAAACATGTCATTATTAAGTGAGAGTTAAAATTAGCGTTATTTCACCGTGGTTTAATCTCTTCATAATAGCAATGGAGCTCATCATTCATATTTCTTACATTTTGTTACGTTTTAATTTGTGATTGTATTTGTTCCTTGATAGACCAGCTCTACTTCAAATGTGAATAACCATAGTGAAATTGGATACGCAGGGCGTGTTGAAAGCGCAGATCTGGTTTAAGTAGTTGCATTCATCTGTTAGTTGTAGTAATTGTAGCAGTAATGTAATTACCTGGGGCAGGGGCTTTTGATAAACCTGCATGGCCAACATGACGGGAGCTGCTGTGTTCCAATTGTAGTATCTATAATGAATAAATACATAAAGTAATCCATTATAATCACTAATATCAGCCTTATTATACAGACAGTGAACATGAAATATAATACCTACTTGTTTCCTATTTTCACTACCAGGTTGGGGTCCTCAATTAGGGCGGGATTTTCAGAGAATTGCTGATACGATACTGCCCTCTGCTGGAATTGCTCTGTAACATAAACATAAACACACATTAAAGCAGAACACAGGGAGAACATACCAGAACTCAGATTGCATATATAAAACAGGATCTATTGTTTAAGATAATAGATTATGAATAAAACAATAATAATGCGTTATAATTGTACTTGGTTCAAGTATAGTAGTGGATTTTACACTGTAGTCAGCAGGAGGTATTTACAGATGTTAATATTGTGCTTAAGCAGCAGGGAATGACCGCAGTAAACAATAGTAATAATAGCAGCATATAAAGTGACTAGTAAATGACAGAAATATCAGTACTTTTCATGTTTGTAATTGTGAAGTTGAGTAGTAGTACCTCTTGTGATCTCCTTGTTGTCACTGAGGCCTCCACATAAGGAGATGGCCACGTGCGGCAGGTCACCGAAGTGATCCGGTAAACAGTCCACGCCGCTGTCCACGCCGCTGCTGCCCACAGACTGAGGAGAGTGGTTCTCACTGCGCACACACATCATCAAGTCGGAGTCCAGCTTCACAGAGCTCTCACCACCTTCACTAACAAGAGACAAAACACAAGATGGTCAACCTTATCGCACAAACAGAACGTCATTGTTATTAAGCTGTTGTGACCCGTCCTGGACCAGTCCTGCTCCACCCAGAGGCTACGCCACCTCCGCTGCTGTGACCTTTTTACTATTGTTTGCTTGTACGGTTGGATGTGTTTCTGCTGCCTTTAGACACATGAAATTTTCCTATGGGGGATCAGCAAAGTATCTATCTATCTATCTAACTATTAAGAGATTCTTTATTTGTATACGGGTTACAGGAGAGTAGGAATGAGGAGCACACAACACATGATAAATAAATCTATAAAACCTCTAGCTTTAGCATAATAATGAGACAAATCTGAAATCTCCAACTTTAGCATAATAAAGAAGCAAGAAGTATAGTATAGTATAACATCTCTAACTTTAGCATAATAAGAAGTAAGTATAGAATTCTGTATATTCTTGTGCAAATACCTTTTCGGAAAGTAGAGAGCAGCGACCTCAGGCTCCAGCTCTGTAATATCATCCAGATAAATACCATCTGTGCCTAGGTGTTGGCTTCTCTTCTCTGAAAGGAGAATATGTAGTTGTTATTATTTTAGATCAGTCAATTTTACAAGTAACAAAATTTCTAGTCAAAAGTTAATTTTAGACAATAAGGCCAAAACACATATTTTAAGCAGTGCATGAAAACATTAGATTTCCACTGTTTTAGTCTTTATCAAAGGTGTCTCCAACCTTTATCACCCAGAGAGCTACTTTCCCGCGACAATAACGGCAGAGAGCTTCTTCTTTAGGCTGCCCTGGGAAAAATGTGGTGATATATTGGTGTGAACTAGTTTGATATTGGGTACAATCATTATTTATCATTGCATATCTGTTCCTAGTGCACAAAGTAAGTGCATTTACAAGAATATAATGAATAATACAATCTGAAATAGTTGCATATTATTAATTTTGTTCATTTCTAAATCCTTTGGCGAGCTACCTGGAAGGAGGTGGCGAGCTACTGGTGGCTCCCGAGCTACAGGTTGGAGACCCCTGGTTTATCGCGTATATATTTAATTATCCATCATTCATTTCTTAAAGAATGTGCGTGTACCCTTTTTCTTTGAGGGTGAGTCGACTCTCCTGATGGGACTCCCCCTCGCTCCCCCACAGTCCAGATGGTCCAAAACACTTCTGGGAGACACTGAACAGGCCTCATTATGTGGAAATGACACTCCAACGCTTTCCACCAATCTCCCTAAAACAACATGGAAGGCTCAATAATCCACTTTATGCAAATGACAAATACCCACTCTGCAGTCTAGGCGTCTGTACCTTGCTCTGTGGTGTCCTTCTGAGTGGCATTCATAGTGGCTTCATGTGTTTCAGGGGGATAGACGTGGAGGGAGGGGGCGTCACAGTGATTGATGGCTCTAAAGTGAGTGCTCTCAGAAACACGGATGGGCACGGCTGAGGAAGACTCTTGTTTCTGATTCTCCGTGAGGAAGGCCGGCTGTGACAGAGAAACAGACGTCATTTAGTAACAGTAAAGACACAAAGAAAGAAAGAAAAAACGCCTGGCCTCACCTGGGCGGCTTGTGGCAGCTCGCCCCACGTCCACAACATCTCAGGATTCTCCTTCATTTGGTTTGAAATCTCAGAGTCACTTTTTGGAGTTGATGATTGGGAATCGTTTGCACTGCTGCTTGCATCACAAAACAAAAATACTCAATGCAACAAAACATCACAATATATGATCTAAAAATGTAAATGTAAAATACCTAATAGAGGGAAAGTGAGAGGTCTGCTGAGGGCAAGAGATAGAAAGGCCACAGGGCGCATGTACAGACAGGGTGCTCTTGATAACGGTACTACAGGCACAACCAGAAACAAAAGAAGAACTTAAAGCATGGTGTGCACTGTGTTTTGTATTGTGGCATTATCAGAGCAAAAGCATTAATGTCATATCGTGGATAAAAAATTACCTGTCGGATCTGTTTGAAGTTTTGTTTCCACTGGCAGTCGACTCACAAAATCCAGTCCTGATAAAATAAGAATAAGAAGAAGTCACAGAGGGAAATGCGATAGAGACTAGAGAACGTATTGAAATCAGGAAAGTATCAAAGGCTGGTAAGTTTTTCAATCTGAAAAACATCTACTGTACATCACATACAGTATTTGTACAGATATAAACGATATTCACAGACAAATTAGAACATAGAATTACATATTAAACACAAAAAAAACATCATATTCCCGCCTACCCGAACTGTCAAACCACAAAAACTAAACAAGGTACAATCCATCTAACTAGTTTCTCGCTCTCAAACTGTTAGGTATCACTATAGTTTTCACATACATATATTTTACACTTTATATATATCTTTAGAACCGCTTTAACAGACAGAAAATTGAGAGAGAGGACCACCCTCAAACTAGCCAATCATCTCACAGCCCATGTTGATAAGATAACATGTTGTGGTCTGATTTGAGCACAACATTAGACGTATGCAAGAGTTTTAATCTTAGTGGCAAACGTCATGTATGATTATAAAAAATTAAGTACCACAAGCTTTTAGCAATGAATATGTCCTATACACCCAAAGGAGAAGACTGTGGGAACAGGACACAATCTGGCCCCGATTCAGACCAACAAATACTTTTACTCATGCTGCAGTAATTACCGGTATTCCTGGGAAAGCACTACAGTGGAGAGTAAACAAAGAAACCTCAAAGCTGATAATAGTTTGACATCAACATAACGACGTGGTTTTGATCCGTTAATCTGTTGAGGTGGAGTTCTGTTTATAGGTTTTAGGCATTTTGAACTCATTCCAATACTTTTTATCTTTACACGCCCTAAACTGTTGTTCACGCCGCTGTTATTACTTCCTCTATTTGGGGTTTAAATGTTGATGATAAAGAACTGAAACAAGCGAATGGATTCATCGCAACTCATCGGTTATAGAAATAGTTCTCAAGTAATTTAGTATTCAATTAGTTGTTTTGAACCTTACGTTGACTTAGTAGGTAAATAATTAAGTCATGTTTGTTTATATAACCACATTTTACAGACACAAAGTGATGACAAAAGCGAGACGCCGAACACACTGGTGCATCAAAGCCTCAAAAAACACCATCCATTCACTCATTTATCGTAGCAACAGGCTGCGGAACGGAAAGTTTTATGAGATCCTTTGTCCCTGCGGCTGTCAGACTGTACAACAGACCTGGAGAAGTCTTCTGCTGCTGGATACTTGAATTTCTCCTACAGGGATCAATTAAGTTTCTATCTGTCTATCTATCTATTTGTTTTTGGGGGAAACTGGAGAACCCGGAGGACAACGGAGCACCTGGAGAAAACCTACGCAGACACGGGGAGAACGTGCAAACTCCACACAGAAATGCCTGACGGTGGAATCGAACCCAGGACCTTCTTGCTCAACACAACACAAGTTCTTTATCTTATTTTTTATTGACTCACCACTGTGAATTATATTCTCGAGTGGGATGGCCTTCTTTGTCCACCAGAAGGTTTGGACACTGGTGCACTTTCATTTATAAGGCTATGCTTGGTCTGCTGCCATCTTACATCTGCCAATTACTCACACAAAGAGATGTTGGTTCATATGGTTTGCGATCAAATGATTTTTTGTTGCTCTCTGTTCCTTTTGCCCGCACAGAAAAAAGCTTTTGTACATGCGGCTCCTACTACATGGAACGTGTTGCAAAAAGACTGCAAATTATCTGAAGTTATTTCATTGAATTCTTTTAAATCCAGATTGAGAGCACTTGAGACGTCCTCATTGAAATGTAACTGTTTTTATAATCCGTAATTTTATGAAATTTTATGTAACTGTTTTATGATATGTAAGTGTTTTATAATATGTATGTATGTAACTGTATGTAACTTTTGTCCAGGACTCCCTTGAAAAAGAGGTTCTTAATCTCAATGGGACTTTCCTGGTTAAATAAATGTGAAATAAAAAATAAAAATTGTTATCTCTTAAAGATACTGAGAAGAGGTTTTATGACACTGATAATTCTATAAAGACTGTAGAAGCGCTTTACAATGTTCAGAGTTTCGATATTTTTTCATTCTCTCCACACACGGTGACGACAAAAGCTAAACGGCGAACACACTGGAGCATCAAAGCGGCCGATAGACACCATCCATTCACTCGTTACATTCTCCAGAGGCATGACTTGAGCTTCATAACCTCATAATAGTTTGAGTTACCTGGTGTCACCGTCCTCATCTGAGCTCAGGTCGATGGTGAACATGTCCTCGTCCTCTGAACCATCACTGTCATCTCTCCTTCCTCCTCCTTCGTCAGGCCGCACCCTCCTCCTCCTCTTCCTCCTCTTCTTACTCGAGCTTCCATCGTTCTCTGCTCCCAGGTTGTGCACGGGCAAGGAGCCACAAATGTCTGCAAGTGAAAAGCAAATCGAAAAGTTAAAATACCGGTAAAAAGTCATTTTTCTGAGTGATTGCTGGTGATTTACCGTGCCGTAGGGATGCTCTCCTGTTAAGTTGGGCCTGCATCAGTTCTTCTCCGATTGAAATGATGGGCGATGTAGCCAAGTAGGACGGAATCATTTCCTGTTGTAAAGAAACAGAATGTACATGAGGAAATGCAGCATGAAGATGAATCCATGTCGTGACGATCATTCAAATCGGCAATAACATTTTATGATCACAATAACCACAGCCAATCCTCAGGAAGAGCTAGATTTGTTTAGATAATAATAAAATCTTGACCACTAGTATTTTGGTGTAAAAGTTTTGATTACAAATACAACATGTGAAAGGTTCATACAGCTTTAAGTTTTTAGTTTTGCAAAACCTTTTTTACAATTACACATTTTGAACATAGATCATCATTCTACTGAAATAATTGAGTCTATATCCTCAAATCATAATTTCTGGTTTGCTCCACCTCAGTGCTTGAACAACATTTACTTTTCATCTGTTGTAATTGTCCTTGTAAACAACAACACACTACAGATACTGTGCCCCTGGGTGACCACTCTGAGATACATAACATGAATATTCATTGTGGTGTTAGTAATCTTTTGCTTTGACCTTGGATTAGGGAGAGTAATTATTTGCATGGACAGAGACAGAATAAAAGGAGAGAGACATGCCACATAGGGCCGTGTCACAACTCTGTCCAAACAGCCCAGCCCCAATCATGTGGAGAAAGGAAGAAAACAAATATGTTATGAATGTCAACAAGCCAAGACTCATCTGCAGTTTGCTCAGTCCTTTCATAAAAAGGCCTTACATATAAAGTCCTATGCTACATTACATTAAAGTACATTAGTAGCATTCCATGTCATTAAAAACAGTGGCCATCTATACACAGTGTTGGTCACAGCACAGTGTGAGAGGAGGCTGTTTGAGGCCTGCAGATCCCAGCATTGACACTGGTTAATGTTTCTGGGAAAGTACAAGTCCAAACAGATCTAACCCTCCACTCTGAGGCTCTTTGCAGCGGGTTGATGCCAGAGATAAAGTCAAAGAAGCTCCATATTGATTTTTATTGTCATAAGAGGAAGACATTAAATGTGAAGTGATTTTAATGATACTGCAGTTAGTTATGTGCAGCAGAACACAATGTGAACAACTTTCTAAGACTGTAACGTTAGCTGCAGTTATGTCTCTTCAGCTTGACCGCGGACTAATAATAGCTCTGTGCTTTCCTATTCTAAGTCCATATGGGGTCAGCTTTGTCCACACAATAAAACCACTCATTTACATTCTATTAAAGTTGGTCACCTTGTGTACTTGTCTACAGTTTTACCACTTTCCGTCACTCACATATAAACCACTTATGTGGACCTTGAAGGTATAGTATTTGACTGAAAGCAATTGTTGTTTATAACTTATATAAATTATAAACAGCAATAAAGAAGAGTGTGTTTTGTTCATAATGAATGCTTCAGCTGTCATTACAAGCATACACTCTTTGAATATGTCCTCTACTGTAATTTTAAACAATCAAATTAATCAATTCTATTATGAAAGTTGATGAAAACAGACATACCCATTCAGGATCAAAAACATTTAAAGGTAAGACCTTTAGTTTTTACTCTTTGGCACTTACCAGTGTGTTTTCAGTCTCTTTGACAAAGAATGCCTCTCCATTTTCTCCCAGTTTCATGTGTAAACTCACTGGCTCCCCATTGATTTCTATATCAACCTGCAGGACAAGGTGAAGTATGTATAATAATACTGACATTATATACATTATACTTAGCTTTTTTGTTTCACCGCTCTCCTTTTGAGCAGAATAAATAAATGAATGTATCTTACCACTTTCTCTCGGGACCGCAGCACCCCCATCTTGCCGAAGCGCACATGGAAAGGAGAGCACTGCAGAGAGCCGTCGGGCTGTCGCACCACAATAACATCAATGCAGCCGGACAGAGTGGCCGGGTTCAGGCCTCTGTAGAGCTCCTTCACCTGGACAAACACCTGGCCCGCCAGCTGGCCCACATAGTTCATGGTCTGCAGCTGAATGGGCACAGAAAGAAGACTCACTTTACAAAATAATATATGTACATATTAGCCATATAGACTAGATTATATTCATTCAGTAATATGTTGTGCAGTTTGAAATATTTCGACTCCACAGAACAGCATGGGTGTTCCCTAGCTATTTACATAGAATAGACTTGTCTAGATTTATGGAGGCTATTTCAACACCAAACTTCCAATTAGAAAAAAATGCTGTGAAGTGTATTGCAATGATTTCTGCTCCGCTAGCCTGGGAGCCTAATCCTTAATGTCTTTCATACATAGATAGTTGATCCACAAATAATTATTTCTTCTTCTCCAAGCAAAACCTGTGTTTCTACATAAAATGTTGAATTCAGACCATTCAGACACACTGGTCATTTGTGAATGGAATGTTGATGGAGGCCATCTTAAGGTTTTCAATCATAGAGAGCTTGGAAAGCAACAATAAACAACAATTCATATTGCAGCTCCTGCTGCAGCTCCATGTCCATCCAAACTATTATTACTCACACATGTATGTGCCAAGTGTTGTTCAGGGTCAGACCTTCATTATGTAACATTCTTTTGTCAAAGCTCTCGTTGTGTTTAGGTCAAAACAATAAACAGCACACACATGTGGACATACCTCGAACTGATATCATTGTCAACAGAGGCCACGTGTGTACACATGGATCATCGATTCTTACACACACGCGCAAACACGCACACGCATAAACTGGAGCTGGACACCTTTCCTAAACAGCCAATCACAACTCTCCATTATGTAATAGCCAATCACAAGACACAAATGTTTGGCCATTCATTGCACTTGCTGCATTGTTTACTACATTTCATGCCACAGGGGACGTAGGGTGATCTTCTTGCGAAATGTAAGCAAACACCCGCCTCTAAAGCCCTTCTTCACTCTAAATTCACTCTCAATGAAAGAAAGTACTATGACAGGAAACACTACCAAATGTCGTGAATAGAATATCCAAATATAATAAACACAGCATAATCACCAATTTTACAACGATCATTGTCAATGTTATTGTTTCGCAAATGCAGTAGGACTAGGAATTAACATGCGTATACCCCAAGCATATGAATACTATGTTCCTACAATAACGCATCCTAAGCATAGGCTGTAGTGCCCAGTGTGTGCATGTGTGTATCAGTGTAAACAGCACGGGGTGAGGCTGCCATCAGAGCAGAGAGGAGAACATGGTCAACAACAACACACTATAATCGACAGCATTCATTCCACTGCAGCTCGGTACGTGTTGTCTACTTACATTATTTATAAACGCTGGGCTTTTCGACTCGGTCCGTAAAACGTGTCTCCACCAAACGTCCTTCAAGGATGCATTTCCTTACGGGTCATTTTAGAATCTCTTTCAGGCGCCAGATGCTATTGACATGAACTGTATGAAAACAGCCCTCTGATTATGATACGGGATCTCCTCTTGGGTAGTGTTTTCTATTTAAAGCGCGGTCCAAATATTCCTCCCACCGCGACCGCCAAGAACAGGCGCGTGTTATTGGCTGCAACGTCATGACGTCGCAAATCCATCATGTTTATGATTCAATTTGAGATCAAATATGTAGGCTGCATCCCCTTCGACAAATTCCTTCTTTCGACTAGTCTGTGAAGTGTTCATTCTGGAGTAACTTTTAAACCACAAACTGTTATCTATGTTATACAATCCGTGTACATAGTAATGTTTTCAGCCCTCACTCAGCCATACAGCTCTCAGTATGTGTGGATGAAAGTATGTATTCTAAGAAGATCAAGAAAGAATTTTGTGATCTGACAATAAATCAGACCACGACATGCTTCATCTTGTTAGAAAAGATTGTATATTTTACTCAACTATTAGGACACATGCTCTTAGCCTACGACAAAGCAGAGGGGCCGATGGCACATACTGGTTGCCTCGCCTCTGTCAATGTGCCCCAGGGCAGCTGTGGCTACAGTAGTAGTTTATCACCACTGTGTATGAAGTGAAAAAATAATGACAAGTAAAGCGTCTTTGAGAGTCCAAAAAAGCGCTATATAAAATCGATGCATTATTATTATTATTATTAACCCAATAACAAAACACTTAATTTCACGGAACAATTAAACTTACCACAATAGAGAACAGAACGAAACATGAGGAGGCTCTGATCCTCAGGACACTATGGTCTGTGGCTTTGCAAGACCGTTCACAGTTATGAGGCATGAGAAAGCCAGATAAGATAAACTTTATGGATCTCACAATGGAGACATTTACCAGATCTACATTTACAAGATTTACAAGATCCTGTCAGACTTCTAAGCAGGGCATGGCCTGGTTACTACTCTGATGGGAGACCTCCTGAAACACCAGGTGACACAAAGGGGTGGCCTTAGAGTGCCAAACTGTCATTGTGGCCTTAGACAAGACACTTTACCCACATTGCTGAGAAATAGTCTGGTGTGTGTGTGTGTGTGTGTGTGTGTGTGTGAATGGTTGGTATTGGTCGGAATGGGCCGATGGCACATACTGCTTGCCTCACTTCTGTCAGTGTGCCCCAGGGTAGCTGTGGCTACAGTAGTAGTTGATCACCGTTGTGTAAGGAGTGAAAGAATGAGTGTCCAAAACTATACAAACTACTGTATACTAATATATAGACACACTATATACTAAATAAAACTAACCATTTTAAGCATTACTTTTTTGAGTTTATGTGCTGTCCCACTGTATGGCATTAAACTTCTATCTGTAAGGAGACAATCGGGAACTGCTGATGTAAAGTTTTGGTCATAACTATGTTGTAGCTTCTGTTAAATAAGTAAAAATTTAGTTAGACTCCATATAGCTTCTTTACTGTACTTTGAAGCAACATGGCATTGAAATGTAGCGGCAGGGACAAGAATAGCATCTACATTCTGCCTGCTCCAAACCATGCAATGAAACAGAGGCCTGTCACTTATGTCACATGCCCCATTCCATTTTAGGATGCATATATTTTGAAGGATGGTTATGAAATATGGACAATTCAATCATAATCTCTGCGCCTGTTTTTGAGTTTTATTAACTTTTCTTGTTCTATATGTTTAATCAGATTATCGTGGTGTTATATAAGGTGATTTGGTTCACTGAGTTTTTCCTTCGTCCAGCCCACCTCAAACAAAAGATTTCCACACACTCTCGCTGAGCAGGCTCTTGTGTTTGTTCCAGTGATTCGAGGAATATCCTGCTACGGTCCCCTTTTTGTTATTCTTGTCTCATTGCAAAACCGACTTCTGAAACTATAAACAAGTCACCACTAGCTGACTTAAATAGTGTCCAAGTGTGTGTTCTGAAATCACTGCCAATCTCTTTATAGAGTAGAACAAAACGCGTGGGTCATGTGACTATCTGCTTAAAGTGATAAAGGCCATAACAGTGAGAAACGGTCAGTTGTGGAACAAGGAAGTAAAAGGGGCACGTCTCAGTGGTTTCTTGGAAAATCTCACACAGAGCAACAGAGGCCAAAGAGAGGGTGCAGACAGTCTCCGGACAGTAAGGGGAGCTCCATAGTGGGAGAACTGGTTTAACGCTTTTTCATAGTGCAATCCATAATCCTCCCCCAAAAAATTATAATTATTTTGTATTTTTCTATTAAAGGGAAACGTGTTCTCGCCTCTTTCCATCTCCCATATGCTATTATATAACTGGTTACTGTATAGCTTGAGGCATTGTTATGGTTTTAGTGTCTTTACTCAAAATGCTGTCCATGTTGTCTCAAAGGCTGTGAGGATATCTGTGCCTGCCTCTTGCCAGACACGTGTAAGAGAGGGGAACTAAGAGGTGGTTGGCTGAGACAAGGCAAGCCTGATCTATCCCAGGAACTCTGGGGTCAAGAATGCATTCGTTTCATCACCATGGTTTTGTGGGTGTTGAGGTGGGTTGGGCCACGAAGGCCAATGGGAGAAAAGCATTAGCATACATCATAAATGAACTCCCCCCATTGGTTTCAAGTGTTGTAGTTCAGCTCTAATTCTAATGTATATAATGGTAGCACTTTTCATGTCACTCAAAGATGTTTTACAATTGCATTGCACTGTTTATTATTCACTCCAAATTTGCCCTGACTGATGGAAGCTGTCGTTGTCCCCTCAGACCAAGACCACACGGCACACATGTGAGATCATCAGATTCAAACGACGCAATGTGGGAGAAGAGCCTTGTATGAGACACACTTGAGGACATTTTACTGCCGTTCCACTGAAGCAGCTGCTGTTACAGATATCTCTCATCCAGGGATTTAACACTATCTTCCATAATCTGACAAGATTGAACATTGACAAGCAAGTATTTTAAAAGAATAGAACTATACATATAACAAAGTCATTTTCAAAATAGTTAACACATTTTATTGTATTACGAAAGCATTAGAGAAGTACGTCTTTCAAGTGTTCAATGTGGCCACTGAAGTACAGTAACGGTGCAGGATCAGCCATATCCACATTATTGTTATTTGATGTTCATTGAACACTTGCAATACAGGAAATATAAGTTTGATTGTGAGTAGACACTAACTTTATTAGTATACTGTATATTAGATAAATATGCAAGCCGATATTTTTAATGACTATTATAATTATTAATACATTGATAATAAATAATTATCAACATATTGATAATCAATAAAACTATTTTTTCTGTTTGTGATGCTGACGGAAAAATTACGAAGGAAAAGGACAATGATGTTAAACTGCAGTTAGCTTTAGAATCCTGAAGATTTCTGGTTCTATATAACTGGTCTATGGTTTGTGTGATGGATCTGTAAAAGCGCAAGACCAAACCACACTGGAATCTACTATTGCACCAAAGAACAGTGTATCTGTGTCCGATGTTTTTCATTCTTACCCAGGACCAACTCTCACATGGACTGTTGTCTTCACTCTCGCTGCTGTAGTCATCCGGATCTTCCACATGTGTCATGACACCATAACATAACTTTCAAATTTCTCCAGGTTAAAAAAAGTTTTTATAAATTGTTATTTGCTGGAAAAAGAGTCTTTCTCCTTGGCTCTTACGTGTGTCTTGTGTTCGTGCCTGGACCTATCCAGATGAAGAGGTAGTGCTGGTTTGTGGACGTTGTGGACTAAATTTATCAACAAGCATGTTCTGAGAAGGCAATACTTGGAGGAAATCTGAGCATCTTTAGTTGCATAGGCTCATCCTGCTTCTTCTGCTCTGGTGTCAGATTGGTCACTCCAGGACTACACACAAATTCTACTAGACTTTTTAATACAAACATCTTCACAATGACAGAAATATGCACACTCAATTCAATTCAATTCACTTTATTCTTGTATAGCCCTAAATCACAACAGCAGTCATCTTGGAGGACTAAACATAATAACCGTTGAAATTGTCAACACAGATCAGAAAATCAACAGTTAAGACACAACAAATATATAGAACACATCTGTATTGGTCCATATGGAGAGACCAATGTCCATGAATGTTGATAAATGTCCATGTTGTAAAATGTTGTTGTAAAGTGTCCTGGATCATCACCACAGTCCTTCTTGCTAGACACTAACGGTCCAACAGACCCTCCTGCATCGGCAAGGGAAAACTCTAAAACCCAGTGGAAGAAAAGTGAGAAACCTCTGGGAGATCCACAGTGAGAGAGGGATCTGCTTCACACGGATGGACGGGAAAAAGATCCAGGGCCAAAGCTACAGAACGAGGACCAAGGCCACACAGAGGTTGCAAATTGAGGACAGGTGCGGTGCAGGATTCCCAGGCGGGGAGGGAGTGTAGTCCACAAGGCGGGTCAGGGCCTGTAGGAGGAGGCCAGGTTCAGAGGTCCCGTCGTCGCACCATGAAACAGACAATGGGACAATGGGTGAATAGCAATGAACACACTACAGTCAAAATCCTAATAATGCAGACAGATAAAGTAGGATAGTGTTCAAGATACCGTACTTCTCCCAGAAAACTGACTCCCTATACAGCTTGACAGTCTAAGATTGTTAGCCTTCCCTGAGTCTTACCTTCCTAACCATATGCTAAACTAAAGAGGACTGCTTTAAGCCTGGCCTTGAATGATAGGCCAGAGAGACAGCAGCAGCCATGGGCTAGGCTGGCCCAGGCTAAAGCACCAAAGAAAGTGTTTAATCCACAATATATAGTTAAGTGAGCACGGAACACTGCACTCATGATGTACATGTTTATACATGAAGAGCACACTATTGTCTATCTAAGTGACTGCAAAGACATGAGGCACATAACAGGCTCTTAACGGTGTCCCTTGTTGTTCAGGGTTGGAAGTAGAGGAGGTCTTGGAAGTGCTTTCACTGACCCACAATAAAAAGTATATAATAATATACAGTATAGATCAAGATATTGGCTTGATAAAAGTAATAGAATTTGTTTATGAATTTAAAAACTAATTTTCATCCCCAAGCCTATAACCATTTATGTGTGGGTATTGAGGAAGCCCAGTCAACACAGCCGTAAGGAGATTTGGCCTGCCCAGTCAACACAGACTGTTTCCTTCTTCTTCTCCACCTCAGAAAATCAGGCACAGACAGATCTTTCAGAAGATGCCTAATTAGCTTTCATGCAGGGCTACACAGACTACTTAATTACACATGTTAAATGTAGTTGGCACATTTTGAGTTGAAGTACTAAAATAAATGAAATGTTGTACAATGTTCATGCAATTTTATGAGTTTCTGCAGTATATGATGCCCAAGAAAAGGTCCTGACCAAGATCCTGGGACTACACTTCTACAACCACTGCGGTGGAAAGGGGGCATTGGAGGGATGGGTCAAATGCCGTAAACACATTTACCAATGGGGTAATGGAAAAATAAATACATATGAGAAATTAGTGCAGCCCTAACTGTCTCAGTTGCATATACTTATATGTATACATGTACTTAAAGTATATAATACACTTGATTTCTTTCCTTTAGAATTCAAATTGAATGTCATAATTCAAAAAAACATCACATGTTGCACTGTTTTAAGCTTAATTCTTGGGAGAGTGCCTGTTGATGAACATATTGTATTACAGTGGCCGGTCTTGCTTAAAACCAAACAACAGCCTGCACTTGTGCCTCAGCCGTTCCATAACCCGTCCAAGTACTAACCTGGCCCTGGCTTTTTCTACAATCTGACAAGACCCTATAGCTCCATGGACAAGACATGGTAGTTTCTGCTTTATGCATTCTGCAGCCTAGTTTTAAGCAACCGAAATCGTTCAGCCCAGGAGTAAAACCAAGTCTGAAGAAATGTAGCCTAATGTAAACCATGTGCACATCGTGTGTATCTCAATAGATCCATGATCGCCACCTAGCGAAGAAATAGTGGAAATGCAATAGGATTATCCTTTTTTACAATAAAGGTACAGATTTGAGCACCTACAAACTTATCTTTTACTTGTATGACTCAAGGTCGCCTACCTTGAGTGTCAAGAAAGGCGCCTAAGAAATAAAATGTATTA